TCGAACGTTCTAATTTCAATTTTTCAACTTTGAACGCGTATTACAGCAATATGGATAAGAGCACAGGAATATATCTATACTTTAGCACATATTTGGAAAATTGCTCACTGCTACTAATATTCGCGCCTCCCCAGGGAGGCGCGCCTCACAGTTTGGAAAACGCTGCAGTAAACGAATCGAATATGAACGGAGAGAGAATCTGAAATACCTGACTCTGCTGGGCCAGCGAACTCTTCTGGTACTCCTCCAATTCAGCGTCTTTGGTGGCGGCGTTCGAGTTCGCTTTAACAACTTTCTCGTAGCAAGTGTTGCAGACGCGCACGTCCTTCTCGAAACCGAGATCCGGCAGCATCACGTTGTTTCCGGTGCAGGAACTGCAGAAAACCTGCCCGCAATTCCGGCAGTGGTGTTTCCTGTTCAACATGTTGAATGCCGTCCTACAACGATGGCAAACCTCGCCGTCCACCCAAGCCGGTGCAGAATTCACGCTGAACATGGCATCAGACTCTTTGACTGCTGGAAATTTGAATCCCTCCGCCTTCATCAGATTCATCGTTTCCTAAAACAACCATATTTCAATATTTTCAGTCCATCCTAATTGTTGGTGTGCACGCACCTTCAACGCTGCGAAACTTTTGTGTTTGCGGAACGCGTAATTCCACGCTTGCAACAGTTCCAGCATTTTCTGCCGCACCGGCTCATGCGGTGTAGTTTTCACCACCTCGTGCAACATCTCGCAGTTCGGTTTGGTGAGCAGCTCCTCATGGAAAACCGCACCTGCAAAATCGCAAAGAGCGTTGAGATCTTGCAATCATTTTCATTCCACACCTCTCATTCTTACCGCAATTCTTGACCATGCTCTCCAAGCATGTGATCGCATACATGGATGTGTTCGGGTTGTTGTGCATCAGTTTCTTCTTCAGGGAAGCGAATACTTGTTTCGGTCTGAAATGCAATCATACAATCGTACATGTACTCAATGCACATTTAAACAATCACTTACTTGACATCGTTCTGTCTTATCTGACTGCACATATCCAGAATAGACTTCCAGTCCTCGTCCATCAGCAGATTGCTGGTGGCTTTGTCTGCAAACAGATAATAGAATCATATACACACAGATTAGTATTTGCTCAGGAGAGAAAGAGTTGGAATTGCTCACCCAGAAGCTTATCGAAATTTGACTTAAACATGTTGGAATGTTCGATTGTTGCGGTCCACCCACGCTCGTTCGCCACTGAAAAAGTAGCCCCAAATTTTAATTAATGAGTCACCAGCAACGATAACACTGGATAACAGCTGATTTTGACAGATGACAACAACAAATACCAACATAAGGATTAGTCATTTATTCCGTCGTCATTCGAAACTCTCTACATTTTAATATAAATTCTAATTATACTTGAGATGTCCGCTTCTTGAAACCGCTCGTTTCCATAAAATTCATAAAAGAGCGCCCGTCCACACCTGCAGCATTAATCAAACTGGACGACGTGTGCAGACAAACTCTTTCGTGTTTCACCAACAACACCACCTAACTGTTGTTAATCAGCACAGCAGCGCCAATTACTGCGCGTCATTGCACTTATGCAAAAAGTGTGCGTCGCTTACGTCTGATGAAAGATGTCGCCAAAACCGCGCGCGCCTTTTGTTTCTCAATTTTCAAAACTGTATGATCACAGCGTAATGATTAGATGGGTGTGAAAACACTATAGACGTGGATTTCGAAACGTGAAATATATTTTTTTTTGTTCCATTTTCTTTTAATATTATTAACCTTTCATGTTTGTTTGTTTTTTTTTTGTTTGTTTGTCGTTTATCTAAAATGATAATACTAATAAATACAATAATGGTAAATTTTACAAAATAAAATTCAAGAGAATATATATATATATGTATGTATATATATATATATACGTGTGTATGTATGTGTGTGTGTGTGTGTTTATGTGTACAATGACGGAAATGTATAAACTTAAAAGAGGAAATAAGAAAGTAAAAGGATTAGAAGGATCGCGGTGGATGAGGGGGGAGGTTGGGGGGGCTGTTGGTTGTATTGAGGGTTGAGTGGTCACCAGAGGATCTAAACAGCTAGCATACAAAATAACCTGTACAAAATATGTCTCTGTGTCTCTTCTCTTTTGTTTTTAAGTTTTCAAGTTTTTTCTTCTCGCACAAATCCAGAATTCACAGTTTCTCTCTCTCTCTCACTGTTCTTCATATGCAAGAAACCATCACCATTCGCGATCGTCGTTCTCTCCTCTTCATTTCATCAATAACTCATCGTCGTCGTCGTCCCTAATTAAATTACAATATTTACAAAATCACTAATACACGTTTGTTCTTGTTGCATTTGAAGAGCACAGGAAAAGTACGCGCGAAATGTTGAGATTCTGCGAGCTTCTCCTTTACATCATACTCTGCCGAACGCGCACACACACTTCATAGTATTCCAAAGGAGCAGTAGCTCGGTGGAAATAAATCGTTGAAGTCGTCATGAATATGAAAAGACATGAACAGATACACACCCAGAGAGAGAGAGAGAAGCAGAAGAAGTCTATGTTCCACAGCAACCTGGCGGATCATTCAGTCTTCATTAATCATCAACTTTTCCGACCGAGATGCTGCACGATGTCAGTCCGCTTAAAACGGCTCTAATATTATAATGTGTACGCGGCGTGTGTGTACATATCTACATACATACAATGTATATTGTTCTTGATTTGGAATCGATGCTTTCAATCTGCAAGGATCCGCTTTTATTTTCGCGGAGAGAAAAAACAAACGTTGGATGAGGATTGACCGGCGCTGGGATGGATAGAGGTGGTGATGGTGTTGAACACGAAAACAAAACTTATGATTCCTTTCTTCTTCATTCACCGTATTTACAATGCGCGGGGTACGCGGGGTTTTGGGGTGGTGGTGGTGGTTGTGGTGACATTTTTGCGGAGATATAGTATTCCAGTTCGAGATTACGTAGAATCACACCCGATGCTCCAAACAGTACGCCTTGTAGTTGTCCTCGTCGAGCTGCCAATTGAGCAGAACGGCACAGCCTAAATGCACGACACTTGGACAGCCTCGACGCAGACAGCAAATGTTCGCCCCTTTCAGATGACACCTGGAACAGCCGACGTTCGAACTCGTCCAGACGGCCTCCTCGAGACCGACGATCTTCGGTCCGACCAGGTAGATGCCGGGCGCCCAAACGACGCAGTCCTCGTGCGCCCATATCTCGTAGCTCTTCTCGTCCATCTGCGTGATGCCGAGCATGTCGCTGCCTGTTCCGAGACCGCCGCCGCCGCCACCGCCTCCAAAACCACCGCCGACGACGTCCTCGTTGTTCTCCGACACCTTCCTGCTTTTCTTCTTGGTCGTTCCCGTCGATGCACCCGCTGCTGCCGTCGACGCCTTGGGGCTCACCAAACCGTCCAATGTCCTGCACACTTTTTTACTTTTGAATTGCTTGTCGTACGGATCCTCCAGTCGCCGCTCGAACTCGGCGCAGTTACTGGTAATAACATACGGACCGAAGAGGTCTCCGGGCGTGTAGAAGCCGACCACTCCCCGACTGAACTCGTTCGAATATGGACCTCGCTTGCAGAAGACGCAGATCCACGTCGCATCCTTCGTCTGCGCGTCGTACTTGTTGCTCAGCGTGCTGCAGTGTAGTCCCTTCGATCGCACCTTGTGCCTGTACTCAGAGTCGTCGTGGAACTTTTTCGACTTGCTTCCACCCTTCCGATCAGACTCGTCCTCGTTTACGGGCGTATTTATCACACTCACACTCAACGGAGAATCGCGTGGACCTCGGATCTGTACGAACGGCCCACGCGACTTGCTGCTCGACGCGTTGCTACCGGAATCGTACGCATAAACATCCTTGATCACCTCGATTTTCGCCTTACCATTAACCTGCGACAACAAACAACAATTAGAGATTAGAATATACGGTTGGGGCGGCGGACGCATTAATAACTCACCTTCTTGGAATTGGTCTTCTTGGGTGTGATTTCTGTTATTTTGTTGGCCAGATTCCTCTTGGGCACCTTTTTCTTCTTGTCCATTCGTTTGCCCGAACTGAGTTTGCGCTTCTTCTGGTTACGCTTCTTGCTACCGCTTGCTGTTACATCACCAGACGTGGAAGTGACGTTGTCGTGGCTGGTCGAGGGCGTTATCGCCAAATTGTTGAGGTCGAAATTGGTGGCTTTCGGGTCGTCCGTAACGACGATTCCGACCGCAGCTGCCGCATTCGTCGATAGAACGGTTTCCGGTCCTTCCGCATCCTCCAAACCGGCAAACATCTCCTGCAACTTATCCTCAACAAAATCCTTTCTGACAACGTCCGTCGTTGGAGTCGTCGTTGCGGTCGAGGAAGTTGTCGTCGTCGTGGTGGTCATCATCATCATCGTTGTTGTTGTTGTCGCCGTCGTCGTGGGTGGTGGAGTTTCCGTTTTCTTCGCTGTCTCCTGCACCATCGCCGCGATCTTGTCTATTGTCTCCGATTCCGATGACGTTTTTCTGCGGGTCTTTCGGGCCACCGGCGACTCGGATTTTCGTCGTTCCGGTATCTTCTTCTCGTTCTCGACATCCTTGGGGGTTTCGGCGATGACCGGTCGTTCTAGTTCTTCTTCAACTGGCGGCGGTAGATCGACCGTTTTGGGCGGAGGCTCTGTCGCCTCTGGTTCCTTGGCGGTCGCCGGTACCCTTATCGTCTTGCTCGGTTTCCTTTTCCGTCGACTCTTGTTCGAGTCCAGACTGTCCTCATTGCTGTACGGTGACACGACCTCGTCCTCGCGTCTGATGCTGCTCGAGTTCGAGTTCTCATCGTGCGAGCTGCTCGCCTGCACTATCACGCTGCTCTGCGCCACCACGCTCTTCTCCTCGGGATGGTGCAGTTGTTGTGGTTGCTGTTGCAGGTGGTGGTGATGATGATGTTGTTGAAGTGGCGGCGACGGTTTCTCAATAGGTTCGACGGGCGCCTGCTGTGGATTGAGTCGCTCCAATATCGAATCGACTCGCTTCGCCTTCTTCGTGGATTTGGGACTCTTCTCCGGCGCGAGACTGGGACTGGCCGATTTCAGGCCTGGACTCGACGACTTCAGTCCCGGGCTGAGCGACTTGAGCTCGTTTCCCTGGATTTCGAGGGCGCTCGCCGCCAGACTGTTGATCTTATTGGTGTCGCGCACGCTGAGGCTGATCGGGGCTGCGGGGATGTCACCGTTCTGGCTGCCGTTGCGCGTCACGCTCAAGTCGACGCCGGGCGAATGACGCGGGAACGGCCTCTCCGACAGCATCTGCTCCAGGTTGAAGATGTGCGACGGTTGGATCGGCGTCTTCAGCGGTTCCGTGGTCGGCGTATGCCACGTCGGTGCCTGGTGCATATGCGGATGCTCATTGGACATGTGAGCATGCTGCGGCTGACTCCTCGGGAAATAGTTCGGTACCTGCGCCACAGCAATAACAGCAAACAGTGATTACAAGACGACAGCAGCAGCAGCAGTAACAATAAATACCTGCAAGTGATTCCACGCGGCATTTCCGCCGGGTGGCGCCTGCCTGTTGTGGGAATGGTGCGGAGGTCCTCCGGACATCTCGAAACCGACGTTCGGTGGAAATCCTCTCTGGTGGATGGATACGAACACTCGCGCGCACCTCTCTCTCGTACTCATGCACACAAACACACACAAGCACGCCCGTTCTCACAAGCTCATCACGGTTATCACAAGAAAATCGAGGCACAGCACACTGTCTGTTCACAATTAGGACAAGTCATTGTGTGAAATTGTTTCGGAGTGGCAGCAAAATCAGACTGGACAAAATCTGTAAAACACAAACAAACGCATCGGATGAGAACAATAACAATCAACTGTAATGTACTAATTGCAAGAGTGCAAATTAAAGGTCAACTCCAAAAATTGTTGACTAAAGAAAAGTGAAATAAGTTTCAAAATAAGGAAACACAAAGTGGCAGAGCAGAGAAAAGGTTATGTACATATGGTCGGTTGACGGATCGAGTGGCACTTTGTAAACAATTAACAAATTAGCGATCGGATAGACTGTGCAACATTCCACGTCCGTTCGTTGGGAATTGGAAGGCAAATTTGAATTAGGCAGTGAGAAACGTACAAGTTGAAGGCCACGGCAAGGGCAGTGCCTGCCGGAACGAAGGGAAAAGTAAATAATTCGAATAGTAATGGTAGGTAGGTAGATAGATAGTACTTACGATGCAAGATGATGATGATGATGATGTCAGGGGGATGAAATGTTTATGTTGATGGTATTGGTAATGCGGATGGCCGTGGTGGTATTATTGTTATTGTTATCGGGGTTACTTCACGTGTTGTTTATGTTGTCAATCGGGAAGGAAGAAGAAAAGTCTTTGGATCTGGCAAAACACTGCTCGACAACACACTTTTTCCTCCTCCTCGTCGTCGTCGTTGTTATCTTTCTTCCACTGCCGATCGGCCACCTTCTTCTGCAACACCTCACCAGGGCGTACCCGAAGACACGGAGCAGCAGATCGCGCACACATTCACACTAGTGGAGGACCGCAGCAACGGCAGTTGCACCTGGTGCGCGGTGCCTCCGTGATGAGATGGGGGGTTTGGTTAATGGATCACAGTGGCACTGACACTGGACGTCGGCACGATACAGGGCGACACACACACACACACGGCACTGCCAACGGAGGGATGTGTGCGGGGTGGAAAGAGGGGAGAGGCGGCGTATATATATGTATATATATATTCGCGAGAGACGCGTTCCAAAAATCGACTCCTCCGTATGATATCCACTCACGATCACGCACTCTCCTTAAAGTTTTTTCGTCCTTCCTTCGTTACACACTTTGTTCTTTATTTCCTTCCTTCCTTCCAATGGTCGCCGCTCTGAAGCCAGCGCCGACAACGACACAATGGCGGACCGGGATTTATATCATTTTTTGACATACGCACTCACGAACACACATGCACAAACTCTTACATACACACGCACACACGAACAGCAGCAATAAAGAAGCGGCCGCCATATTCGAAATGCACGCCGAATGACAGCTGGTGTCATTCGACGGGCGGCGCCCTCTCGCGTCATCGTGCACAAACGGCGACGACAAACGCGCGCATGCGCATCATCCGTGCACATATACAGGGTGAGCCAATAATATTCGAATGGGGCGAAAAAAAGGAAATGTGTCAGTCGAAAATTTAGATTTATTCAATCGTAGAACGAATATATGTGTATATAATTCAAGGAAAAAGAAATAATAATAATCTAAATATTTTAGAAGCTCGTTTTTTCTTTCTCCAGCCTTTTAATTATTAAATATCCTATTCAATTTTTTTTGTATATACATAATACATATACATCATCAGTTTCCATTTATAAAAAAATATTCGTCTCCTAATTTACACACGCTGTACTTAAGAAGAAGTAACTTAAACACACGTCCTCTGACAGCAATAAGCAAAGGAATCGTTCCATCGAATTCCACCCTTAGTTCTCTTTTGTTTGCCAATAATTGTGCAATTCAAATTACCGGCAGGTCCGCAAACAAATATCATAGCCTTCGCGATTCCATTGCGTATTGAAGAAAAACAAAAAAGGACGCCATCTATCAATCATCTTGTTTACAGCATCCGCAACAAAGTGGGACACATCTATACATATCATTAAAAAAAAATCATCTATCACAAAATTACTTTTTTTTTTCAATCATTGTGGTGGCAATATATTCATTTGTTACCTATCACCAATAGGGCGATTGAAATTCTCTTGTTTTTGTTGTTGCTATGGTAGGAGAAAATAAAAACAATTTAATTTCAAATGTAAGGAAACAAAGATATGCATTAATGAGAAAAAAAAAGAGAGAGAAAAGAAAAAAAAACGAATCGAATAATATTTAAATATTAAAATATTTGGCACTAAGTACATATTAATTAATTAAATAATAAAAACTGAGACAAATATTATTAAGAAAAATAAAATAATAAAAAAAAAACAGAAGAAAAGAATAATAATATTAGATATATATATATATAATCTATATACACAATATTTTCTCCTCGACAATCATAACTTTTCTCTTACACGATAATATAATAAAATATATAATATAATATTAAGATATTAAAGACATATATGAGAATATCCATACATGTACACATATATACACATCTATATAAGACAATAATTTAATTTACAGCCATCTTGTTTATGAAATAATTTAGAGAGTAAAAAATAAACGAACGAAATATTTATAATAATAATAATAATAATAAGAATAATAATGAACGGTAGGTTGGCTTTCTGGAACGTCACCTTTTGACGCACATCAATATGACATATGTCAATATGACACATGTCAGGTATGAGGGGAAAATAATGACGCGAATCGGGTCAAAGGGCGCAGCGCTTTCCCGAAGCGGGGGATGAGAGGGGGAAAATGGGAGTAGGCAGAAATATAAAATTTATATATATATATAAAAAAAAAATAATTGAAAATAAAATACATCATCCTAAAAATACACGATAAACTTAATTATATAACACACAATATATAAGGGAAGCGCGGCGTCAAGCTATCACATTTGTTTATAAAAATTTCTTTAAATATATTTTATATTATATATCTATATATATATATGTTTCACTTTCCAAAAATTTTGGAGCGATTTACGTTTTCGTCATCGTGTTACCAACCACCCCCGATCATTATTACCAACACTCGTACAAGCACAAAAGAAAATAAATGATGATGATGATGATGACGATGATAATATAAGGAAACGAGAAACTAAAATCGTAATTCTGTGAGGCGCAACCGAAGTGGATGCACACAAATCAATTGCAATTCAATTTTAAACAAAAAAAAACATATATATTTAGAGAGAGAGAGAGAGAGATCAAAAGAAGAAATCTATAGAGAAAACAAATGAATCAAAGAAATCGTTGAGATTGTCAAGGCAACGAAACAACGAGACGCAAACAAAAAGGGATGCAAATATTGTGTGTGTGTTTGTGGCAAGATTGAGTCGAGTCACGATGTTTAGTTTCTCTCATCTCTTTTACTCTCTCTCTCTCTTCATTGAATTCCAATTTGAAAAGTATTACAAGAAATACCAAAAAAAAAAAAATGAAAACACAAAATTAAGTTTCACAAGAAAAATAAATGAATAGCGAACGCGTGAGATCAAAAAAAAAAAACAAAATATTATTAATAATAATAATTGAAAATAAACTAAACACAGAAAAAAAAAAAAAAAGAAAAGAAAAAACAATACACAAGATTAAAAAATATTACACAATCATTATTAATTATTAACAAAATTTGTACTAATCGCTTTCTCGATATGAATATTACATATACATACATATATAAACTACAACAGACATAAGAATAGAATAAACGTTAATTTAATATACACTTTATTTGTTTGCGTTAACTTTAAAGCCCTAAGAACTGGTGATTAATATTAACTGGGTTTTGTTTTTTTGTTGCTTTCGCTAATTTTTATTTTGTTTCAAGGTTTTTTTTTGGAAGAACGCCGTCGATTGGTTGATATTGCTTTAGAGGGCGGGGGGAGTGGTTTAAGGAGGAGGAGTCAGGTTCGTTTTGGGGGTGGGCGGGTCGTGAAAGGTGGTTTAAGGAAGGGACGGACAGATGGAGCTACACGCAAATGACATTTAGGGCAACAATTCTAGGGCGCGAAAATGCAAATTTTTGCGTCACAAAACTCTATTTGTTTCGATGAATGGATGATATGAAGATGATTCTGCGTTCACGATGAAATAAAAATAAAAGATTAACCCTTCCGTTCCGTTCCGTCGTCGTCGCCGCCGCCTTCGATTCGCACGAGATGAGAAGGAGAAGAGGAAAATTGGAAAACCGCGAAATAGATGAGATGAAGTCGATGATGATCCTTTTCTCACTTTATCTCTCACACACTCTCCCTATATATTATATATAAATATCCCCAATTTCTCTCTCATAACACAGTCGACTCCCCTGCAAATACAACAACAAACAACAATTATATATATATAAAAACAAAAAAATTTAAAACAAAACAATGCAACGATACGAAACAAATAAAACAAAATGAATAGTATATAGACACAACAAACCCAAACTACAACAACCAACTAAAAATGAATGCGTTAACATCTGCACTAATAGCAGCAACAAATAAACACAAAAGACTAAATGATTTCTGGAAAAGAAAAAAAAGCAAATAAAAGACGACGAGAAAAGTGCTATCAAACTTGAGAAGATGGATCAATCGTGCAAAGAGTTAAATGAAAACGAAATGGGAGTTACTTACACGACCGTCGATCGTCACTCACACTCATTCTCTCTTAAAATTATCTCTGTTCACTTCATTTTCATCGAATTTTTATTACCGTTTTTTTAAAAAATACATGCTTATTGTACAATATATTTATATATTATTAAAAAATAGATAGATAGATTGAGAGAGAGAGAGATAGTTAGTAGAAATGGTGATTGTTGGTTGGTTAGCAGTCTCAACTCTTTGTGTCTTTTTCATCCAGAGTGTTTCTATCTATTTTTCGTTTCGTTTGTTCTTGTTTAAACTCATTTGTACTGGGTGGTAGTAGTAGTAGTTAGTGGTGTTCGTTCGTTCATCTCTCGCGCACTTTCCCCAGAGTCCCAAGATATGGAAGAAATTTCTATTTTGCTACAGCACAATTAGTAATAAACAAGGGACGATGATGATGATCCAGCTAGAGAGGAAACAGAGAGAAAGAGAGTGAAGATGGATCAAAGTGAGGTGAGAGACTTATATAGATAGATGGGGAGTGACAGTTGAGACAGGCGAGCGAGTAGGCTGTGGAGGGAGGTAAGTCTCGCCCGTCCGTCCTTTATTTTATGTACATGGGGCAGAGGTGGTGGCTGTGATGATGGTTATTGTTAGGGTTTATGCGGCGAGAAGGTGCTGCGTGGGTTCGTGCGCGCCGCCGCCACCACCTCCACCGCCGAGCTGCGATGCCAATTCGCATTCGGAGAGGAGTCTGTAACCGACACCTCGAGGATCCATCATCGAATCACTTTCCGCCACTGCAGCAGCATGGAAACAAAGAAAACACACAACACAAACATGTTTCATTGAAAAGGATCTTGAAGCCATCGGGCGACGATAGTTGCATACAGAAAAACAACAACAACCACAACGACAAAACCAACCGCCCAACGAAGCAAATTGGGAATAATAGATGGAGAGGATGAGAGAATTTAGTAAGGAAATCGCAGGTTACCAAGAAAGAAAAGAATAAAACAGAAAATAGCATATTCGCGACCTTAAATGTTTAAAAAGTAAACTTGCACGTTTTGTTCCAATTGGAAAAATAAATTAAAATAAATTAATAATTGAATAAACAAACAAATAAAAATCTTCTCTCTTTGAATACTAGAGATGAAAAGGAACAATGGTGTGATGATGCGATGATAAATAGAGATTGTGAATCAAAAACTTTGCATTCCGAGTGTTTCCTCAAATAATATAACATGAAATCAGTGGAGGAGAAACTGTAACAACAGCACCTCGGTGACTGTCTTTCTATCTCTGTACATTAATTTAATTAATCGCGTACGCGTATATCTGTCGTCTGCCTATATGTGTATATACACACAAACACACTCTTAACTCATTCACTCACTCTAATTAAATTGTACTAACTAACTAAAAGTATGCGTTGGTAAATAATTATTAACGTATGTTGTGTAGAACGCCAACAAACGACATGATGTTGTTGTGTGCATCGTTTTGTATCGGTCGTTCGGTTGGTCAGTCAATCATCAATCGATCATCAGTCAGTCAGTTAGTCAGTCGTCGTAGGGTTTGTCTACTACTAAGTGAGAGCACTCACCGCTGTCCCACGCCTCGTCGTCATCGTCGCCGTCGCTGCTGTCACCCTCTGAACTTCCGCTCGGCGAGTCCTGGATCACGTGCTGTCCCATTCCTTCCTGCTGCGCCGGCATCCAAATATTCTTCGACGGTCGCCTGAGCAGCAGCATTATCTGAAAGACACGCAAATTCATCATCAAATTCTTGCTGCAGCAAATACCAAAATCCGAAGGATTCGATCATCATCATCATTATCAATTCATTCTCTCACTCCGTATATTCCGAGCTGACGACAATCAGTCTGGTGAGGAGGACAAGATATACATTTTAGTTTTTAAATTGTGTTTGTCAAATAGATTTTACTGTCGCATCCGATAGATAAGTAATGAGAGAAAGAGAGAGAACTGTGAAGCGTGTCTCTAGATAACTGGATGCGTGTATGAAATAATAATGATATTTTAATCAAATAAGTGAGAAAAATGATGAACGAAAATCTCGTCTGGTGAAAAGTGGAGGGGAAACAAATCGTTTCAAATGATAAGACGGGATTTATCTGCTTGTATAAATAGTGAACGCGCGAGTTACGTCGAGTCACCAAATAGGAGAGTAAGATTTGAAATAAAGAAGTGCACGTTTTGGCGTAGGAAACTCACTTTGAAATCAGCACTAAACGTCTTGTTCTGTTTATCTTTCTTGTTGAGGTTGTCGAGTTCACTTTTGGTCAGGGTGAGGACTAAGGTCTCGCCGGTGTTGCTGCTGCTGCTACAGTTGTTGGAGGCAGACAAAGGCACCTGCGAGTGCAGAATGCCAACGTTCGCTGTTGTCGCTGCTCCACCTCCTCCTCCTCCTCCGTTTTGTCCGCTGTAACCGTTGAGGTCGGAGGAGGCGGCGGCAGCGGCGACATCGGGTGACGTGCAACAGGCCGTCGTCTGGCCGGACCACTCGTCGCGCACGAAGAAGGTGTTGAACCAGAACTGAAACTGCTTCTTCTTGAGCGGCGATTTACTGTAGAGTTCGATTTTGATGTCACCGGTTATAGGCACGCACGCGTCCACTTTGAGCGTCAAACACTTCACGTCACCTTTGCGCACCTCCTGCACGATGCTCTTGCACTTCTTCTTAAAGTTCGCCGACGAGATGGTGAAGTAGAGGCTGCCGCCTTGCGCGCTCGTCAGCGTCGGCGGCGGCTCCAGCTTCAGTTCGGTCACGTACAGGCTGACCGAACTGTAGACGAGGTGCTCACGGATCATGCTCTCGTAGTACCGGATGTACCGCACCTGGCTCGGTATCGTCACGCCCTTCTTGTCCTGCGTCCTCGTGTTTCCGTAGAAGCTGAGCGCGTCGTCGGCCGTCTCGTAGATCTGGCTGTGCAGCAGGTAGCAGCAGATCATCGTGCCGGTGCGGCCCTTTCCTGCCTTGCAGTGAACAGCCGCGACGTTCTCGGAGTTTGCCGTCAGCCATTCGTGGACGTCCACGCAGAACGGTCGGATCAGGTCGATCTTGGGCGGATTGTGATCGTCGAACGGGAACATCTTTACTCGATTGTGAAATTTGGTGGCATCGTACGACCTCTCCGAGCACAGATTATAGATTTTATAGTGGTCCTTGTGCTTGGAGTCGAGCAGCTTGACGACGTCGTCTATGTGATTCCGGATCACTTTGCCCTCGATATTGGACGCCGGGTAACCCATGGCAATAATATTGTGTCGAATATCTGAGAGAAGAAAGAAAGAGATATTAACAAATGTGTAACGTAACACACTCATCTACTTACATGTCAGATCCAGGTCGAAACCGTCCTGTTTGTAGCGGTTCCTCTTCTTGCTGATCAGACCCTTGATCGAATTGGAGAACATCATGTTGTTAAAGTTGGCCATCGTCGACGTGGTGAGCACCGCGTTCTTAACCTCTTCCTCCACCACCACCACCTCCTCTTTCTCCTTGCGGTAACGATTCTGAGGATGTTGATGGAGCGTCACTCCTCCACGGTGCCGCTTCCCATTCAAGCTACCGGTGCTATCACTGGCCGTCAATAGTTGCGCCGAATTCGCACCGCCGCATAACTTTGCGCTTCGTCGTTTCTCTGCAAAATATACATTTTAAAATTAGTAAATTCATCATCATCGTCACAGATACGAAAGATACACATCGTTGATGACATAATTAAATGAAACCGCAACCGTTTCCCGATCACCCATCACACTCTTTCCTACTAAACAACGAACATGATGATGACGACGTCGACGTCTTTTCATATCTTTTTTTTTTGTTTCCTCCTGCTTTTAATAATGGGGGAAACGAGGAGTGCGTGTGGCTAGCTCAAGGCCGCACGAATCACCGTACAGAAAAGCGCGAGGGTCACGGATTCGATACGTCACGTCGAAACTCCAAATACCATCATCGGATCTAGAGTGCATGGTGATTAAATAACGCAATCCGGGAGGCTACGTCTGTGTATATGTGTGTGTGTGTAAGAGAGAGAGAGAGAAAAATCTAAATCAATTGTTTCGCACACACGCATTCGTTCGCGTATCCGAAAAATACACCATACAAAATAGATATGGATGGGATGCAGGAAACAATGTAACATTTCGATCAGTAAATTTGAAATAAACGATCGCATTGGTGATGCAATTTCTTTGGGATGAGTCAGTCAGGAGGTATCAATCAAATCAGATGATGCGCGAACCTTGACTAAAGATCATTAAAAAAATGTTCGTCTCATTTTCGTCAGTTTCTGGGAATAGTCCAAATGTATCTAAGCATCAGATTGCTATTAGGAACAATATAATTAGGAATAAAACCTATTATGATTTTGTTATAAAATTGATTTAACTGAGCTTGTCAAATTGCTAACATCGATTACATTTTGATATTGGATTAGTGATTATATATTGGTGGTGGATACATACTGAAGAAACACAGATGAAGCACATCCAAGAAAACGTCCATAGTTTTGATTGATGTTAAGAGAACAAGTCTTCACATTGAAATGAACTATTATAATGTTTGATTGCTTTTGAATTGAAATGCAGAAACCAATAATTGAAAGGTAGACAAATAATGAATCATTGATTGTGAAAACATGACGAAGAAATAACAGAGATAGTTAAAAGTATGAATAATGCTTGTTATAGCTTGATATGGAATTGGAGATGGTGGTATTGGTAGTTAGTTAGTAGTAATGTGTATCAAGATACCTGTAATTGGGGCAGCCGCTGCTTTGCAACTGAGACACAAACCCATAAAAAGGTTCACTGCACCGCAACAGTAAATGGGCTGATGCCTGTCTTGTGATGATGATGATGACTCCTGTCGGTGCAAAGCATTTGGTCCTCCCAACACACTCTGAGTAATATAGAGATGAAGATGAGGATGAAGTGATCACTACTATTGTTAAGTTACTGTGCCTGTTCCAAATTCCCTCGAGGAACAGTTTCTTTTTATATATATGTATGTATATGAACACACACACACTCACGTATTATATACACGACCAGTCAGCAGACACTCATACAGTATGTACGAATGATGGAAGAGACGAGTTTCTTGTTGCTGGCCGCGCGTTGTTGCTGTAGCCGTTTGTTGGCCGGCGTCGACGTCGAAGCTCACCGATGTGTCCAGCGCTCCTACGGGGTGGCTGCCACTGCTGCTGCCGCTGCTTGCTCTTCCTTCCTTCTACTCCTACTCCACTTCTTCCTATCTATCTCGTCGTCCGTACACTGACTATCTGCTGCTCTCGTGTGCTCCTTCTTGCTCGCTCTCGTACTCACTTATCTCCTTCTCCTTCTCGCACACACTCACACACTTAAACACGCAACGCTTGCTCCTCTTGTCCTGTACGAACTCTCGCTCACTCTCTCAGACGCACTAGTGTCTGGCGCACGGCGTAGGCGCTCCTGCCTTCTCCTTTTTCAACCCTTTTCTCGTCGTCGCCACCACCGATGTTCTCCTCTCCGATCTGGCAGTGCTCGCCCTTGATCATATCCTGTCGTCCAGCCACCACCAACACCACCACGGAAACGACGATATCCGGGGGGGCCGTGCACCGTCCGTTTGGATGCTGTTGCTGCTCCTTTTACCTTGTTTCTTGGCCGCCTCCGACGATGCCTCCGCCGTCAGGATACGCGGTCTTCTTCTCTTTCGCTTGCTCCCCTTAGCACTCCTCCTCTTATTCTCTTCACTTGCAAGTACTCCACCGTCTCCTCCTCCACCTCCTCCACAATTCTATGCAAATCCCAAGAACATAATCAGAAACCTCACTATCACCGCCACCACTAACACTCTCTTCTTATTGCTCCCTTGCCACCAACTCTATATTGCATCTGCTGCTGCTGCTGCTGCTACTGTTGGTTCGTTTTCGACACAAGCTCGCACCACAACTGAGAGAGCGCCCTACTTTACACACACACACTGGCGTTACAGGCGACTACGTTACCGGCCGCACGCACACTCGCCGCCCCGGCGCCAAATTCGAAATACTCGGAAACGGGCGCTCGTTCGATCCACCACCTGAGCAAGGTACGCGCCACCACCCCCCCGATCTTATCAGAACTTTTACGCCGATAATCAGAAAAGGAAATCGCTTCGACCCTGCGATTCAACACCAATCGCACATAACCTGACAGCTGTCATTATAACCTACAAAACGGGGGGGACATAATCGGTGCGCAAAAAATGACATATTGTGTAGCTGCATATGTAAACACACCAGTCGTGCCAACTTGTAACAATAGAAAAACAAATGTAAACCAGCGTTTCTCAAACCAATATGGAAATTGGAAGGATGATATCGAAATATGTTAAAATTGTTGAATAATAGAAATAATATATATTTAAATATATAAAATGGTCAGCAACAGGAACGAATGTAGAAGATTTATGTAATTTTGAGAAGGATTTTGCCGATGTTGCTGCGTCTCTCGAGCACGGCGATTGCATCCAAGTAGGACTCGAGCGAATCCCAAATGGAATGGATGACCGGATTAATGATGCCGTCACGCAACCAGTCGATCACTGTCTGCAACACTTCCTCGAGCAACTCTTTCCTGTTGTCGCACAGCACGCCCAGATGGAAACCGGAGACGATGCGATTGGTGAGAATCAAATCGACGGGATTGATCAGACCGACCGGTCTGTCGATCGCTTCCCGAGCGATCGACGATTTAGCACCCAAGATGATCATCCGACCTAACGGTCTCAGTTGGCTCATGAGGAAATCCTTGACGTCCCCGGATTCCGTCTCCAGAACAATGTCCAGACCACCAGGACACATGGCGCAGAATCCATCGATCAGATCTTCGGTGACCATTACATTGGAAAGGCCGTACCGGTCGTGCAGATACTGAAATTTGCTGGGGGAGGCCGTCCCGTAGATGGTCACGTCCTTGAATCGCTGGCAGATCTGTACGGCGGCCAATCCGAATCCACCTAAAACAACGAAGCAGAAAGGATGAACGTCATCACGGACGAATCACGGATGGGATGTATGTAGTGATTAGTGCACCGGCAAGCGAATGAATGAAGACGCTCTTTCCGTCTGTAAGGTTTCCGATTTCGAGTAGACACAGATAGGCCGATACATAGTTGATGAAGAGGCAGGCGCCTTCCTCGAAGCTAATGTCGCGCGGTATCTTGAAGCAGTTTATCTCGTCGACTCTCACTTGCTCGCTATACATTCCGCCCATGTAGTTGTAGCAGATCACCTTATCGCCGACCTAACGATGAGAACAAACAATCGGTAAACACAACAATCATCGTATCACTCACCCGAAACTTGTCGGATCTGTAACCGATGGCGGTGACGATACCGCAACACTCCAATCCCATGGTGAATGGTAAAGGGAGCGAGAGGAATCCGCTCCTCTGATAAATATCGGCAAAGTTTATACCGCATGTGTGCACCTGCACTTCGATCAGACCATCGAGTGGGCGCATTTCCGTCATTCTCGTCTCAACCATTTCCGGTGCACCGCTGTATCCGGTCAACACCACAGATTTCGTTCTTTTCAAACTCATCTTCTTCTTTATGTGTATAATCTGCAACAACAATAACAACAAACTTTTCAAGGTCGCTCTTGCTCCTCGTGGCTCGCGACAAAAATGAAATTGAACAAACAAAACATAGAGCTCTACACTAACAGGAGACTTTATGAAACTTGTTTTTTTGCTGAATTTACCTTTTCGATCGATTTCTGCTGATTAACACATTAAAACAAACAAATGAACTTCGCACATGGGATCGAAAGCCAATGAAAGCATCGATATTGGATGTTGTGTCAACAAGACGTACTTAAGAAATGAAGAATAAAAGAGAATCGTAATCATGGAATTTTTGTTGGAGCGCATTGTACTTCGTCAAATATTTAATTAGTCTCCAAAAATTTGTAACGGTAATCATACGATGTTGATTTTAATGTCTAAGTTTAGAATGGACGGACGAGCGTTTGAAATAATATTTTTTAAATTTTTTTTTTTCGAAAATTGGCGGCCATTCTTGTTTAGGGAATATTCGATTAATAATGTTGGCAGTATTTTTAGCGGTAAGATTTTCAAACTAGCATGTTAGGTTATGTTATGGTGTGTCAACAGGTGATTAAACTCTCATCAGGGAATGTTTTTTGTAATATATAAAAATCCCGTCCGTCCTCTCCTCATTCCCTTTATAAAATTGTCCTGACGTGTCGTGTCGTTGAATATCGAAGATATATATATAATACATTATTATGGATAACGAGAGCGTTCTTGCTTGCCCGGTGAACGTGGAGTGGTGCGACCCCCATGGTGTAGTCATCAGAAAGATGGCTCACAAGAAGGCCCAGCTGAAACTGATCCGCAACGAATTGAGAAAGATATACATTGAGATTGGTGCGGAGAAGATGGCCCCCGTTAAGCTGGAGCTGAAAGGTATTGCAGTGCACAAGAAGTTCATGGCCGAGGGAAAGGCCTCCATCAAGTTCCAGGAGAGCAGGTGCACCATTTACATTTCAAACGCGCCCCCATCGCAGCTCACAAGTAAGTCGAATTCCCTTTTACTTTGTGCTCTTGCAAAGCTATGATTAATTGTGTGTGTTTATGTTTTAGATTTTTTGAGGACAATGTTCATCAAGATGACAGGACAAAATGTAGGGACTGCGGCTAATAATAAAACGAATCCCTCTTTGAGGACGCAACTGCTCTCTAATAAACCCAAGCAATATCAAGAGATCAGTCCGGTGACAACAGCGGATGTTGACAAATTGAAGAAGCCGAGGGCGACGGATACGACGCCTTCTCCTCTAAGCAGAAAAAGGAAACTGACGGAGGGCGGAGATGGTCCAGCGGCAAAGAAGCCACCGACGCCGCTGTTTGATCAACCATTGACGATCGAGCAGAGAGACGTACTTGATGCATGTCTGTCTGGACAGAACTTGTTTTTCACGGGGAGCGCCGGCACCGGGAAAAGTTATCTACTGAGGAAGATAATTGGAGCGTTACCTCCGGATGTTACGGTGGCGACGGCGTCGACGGGGGTGGCAGCCTGTCACATTGGCGGCACAACGCTGCATCAGTTCGCTGGGATCGGCTCCAGCGATGGGAGTTTGGAGAGAGCCAAGGAGGTTGCAAACAGACCCCCGACCTCGTCCAACTGGAGGAGATGCAAGCATCTGATCATCGACGAAATATCGATGATAGACGGAGATTATTTTGAGGTAAAACGAATGATCGAGAAGAGAATGTGAGATACTGAAGATATTGTTTGTTTGTTTGCAGAAAATTGAAGCGGTCGCTCGACACGTGCGAAAGAACGATAAACCGTTCGGGGGAATTCAGCTGATTTTGTGCGGTGATTTCCTGCAACTTCCGCCGGTGGTGAAGACGAAGGAGAACAAGAAGCGTTTCTGCTTCCAGACGAAAGCGTGGAAGGAGTGCGTGAATCAAACGTTCGAGCTGAAGCAGGTGCACAGGCAGAGCGATTGCAAGTTCATCGATATACTGAATAAACTGCGAATAGGTGAGGTGTCCGATGAAGTTGTCGAGACGTTGGCGAGGACCTCCAAGCAGCGGATCGAGAAGGACGGCATCCTCGCGACAAGACTCTGCTCGCACATGGCCGACGCAAATATGATTAACGAGTCGAAAATCAAGAATCTACCAGGTAATGTTTACAAAACTTGCGACTTGGAACAATAACGTAATATAATATGTTGGATTTAAAGGTGAGGCGAAATTGTACGACGCACAGGACAGCGACAACTATTTAACGAAGCAGCTGGACCAGCAGACGCCGGTGCCAGGAAAGCTGCAGCTGAAGGTGGACGCTCAGGTGATGCTGCTGAAGAACGTGAACGTGTCGGCGGGGCTCGTGAACGGCGCCAGGGGTGTGGTGACCGGTTTCCGCGACGGCCTTCCGGTGGTTCGCTTCCGGAACAATCGTGAGTACGTGGCGAAGCATGAACGCTGGATGATAAAGATGGCAGGCGGCGCTATCGTCTCGCGACGTCAGATCCCATTGAAACTCGCTTGGGCCTTCTCCATTCACAAATCTCAAGGTCTGACCCTCGATTGCGTCGAGATGTCTCTGGCGAAGGTGTTCGAGGCGGGACAGGCGTACGTCGCCCTCTCTCGTGCACAGAGTCTGGAGACTCTGCGCGTCCTCGACTTCAAGGCGTCACAGGTGTGGGCGAACCCCGACGTCCTTGCCTTCCACAAGCAGATGAGAGTAACCATGAGTTCGCAGATGTTGATACCGCTCGGCGCCGGCAGAAAGGCAACAGGTGAACGGAAGAAAACCGTCAACAAGAAACTCTTCTCCAACAAACCACTAGTCAGTATAACGTAATTCTCATCATCGAGCAACCATCGAATTAGTTAAATTTTACTATAATTTTAAGTTTTATAGCTAGATCTATCTTTTTTTATTTAAGTATATATAATTTTATTTCCTCACTTCCAATCACGGGAGATGCATTGACTGCGCTCTCTCTTTTATCCGTTCGACAACATTTCATTGAGCAATAGCAGATGTCATCTGTGATATTATTACATAACAGTATTTGTAAAGAAGACCAACATATATATATTATTTTTGCTTATATACTCGACTCTTTTAGTGTATACAATTTTTATAAATAAAATTACTTTTCTAAATTCTCCGACTGTTTCGAAAGCGCAGCAATAAATAGAAGATATTATTTGGCAGCGGTGATGTGATGATGTTGTATAAACTGACTGACCTGGAAAGCGTATACAAACTGAGGAGGATGAGAGTGACAAGCTCAGAGGGATACGTTAATCTCGACCGGGGGGATGAAACGCCACACGTGACCGGAAATGGAGGCGGTGGCGGAAACGCACTCGGGAGCGGCCACCTGGATGTCCATCTTGTATTGACCGGGTGTGAAAAAGAGAACATTGCAATTGTGCTCGGCCGAAGTCTGGGGCTCCAACGTAGGCACCAGAACCCTGCAGAAGATAGATAGAACAAGGTTGAACGTCGGAATTGATAAACGAAACGAATTCGCAATTGATTCTGTACCTGGAGAGACCGGTTGTAGCTAATCTGTTCTCCAGACGATAATTGCACACGCCGTTCTGGTGATCTTGGTAAAACTGCACGGACATACTGAGATGCCTGAGAGCCTTCTCCAAGCTGTTGCCTATTTTTACGGACACCTCTAGACAATCTCCAGCTTCGCAGCTCAGAGCCTCCTGCGGTTTCACCGCGTCCCCATTTATTGAGACATCTGAAACACATGAAACTATGAACACTCGGTGGGTTGATTGTATGATTGTACTCTGTACCCCAGTTTAAAGGAGACATTCGGACGATGTCCAACATGTTCGGTGTGAGTGTGATGCCTTTCAGGGTTGCTTTGCCGTTGGTATCTATCGCGGACAGTTGCCATCGAAGATCCACCAGATTGGCAATATGATCGGAGCAAATCTTGTCGAGGTCGAGACGCTCGTCGATGCCGTTCTCCATGTACAGCTTCGTCAATTTGGACAGCGGACACCGGTCGACGGGCACGGGGATGCGACAGGACTCGTGACCCTCGATCAGCATGTGCTTGCTGCTGGTGTAGTGCAGTTCCATCTCTTGCGAAGTCAGATTCGCAATGTCCAGAACCAAGTAAAATTGCGACGATCTGCAATCGTTACATTGTCTTTCAGTCTTTCACATTTTGATTGCGAACTACTCACGTTTCTGCCGGTAAGACGTCCCAGTTGGTGACTTGCAGCGAGGGCATCATCTCCAGCGTGATGAAGACAGAACAGGAGCGACAGTAACCGGCCAGCAAACCTGTCCCGCCGCTATATCTGAATTGCAGCTGTCCTTCCACCACCGAGGAAGCGGCGTGCTGAGGCAGTGCCAGAACACCTGGTGATCTGCAGCCTTGCGTTGTCATGCTGGATTGGCCAGAGTTCGAAGAGCGGAAGCTCGAATTCAAGTCGTTTCGCCTCGAATGGAAGCTTCCGCCCATCGTGCTCTGATGGGAGATGGGAGAGTTCAAACGCGAAGGCAGAGAACTTGGACCTGCGGACATCGACAATGAGATGCTGCCCGCGTGAGAGCTGCCGAAAACACCGCTGCTCAACTCGGGCCCGGAGAAACCACTCGCCAAGAAGTTGGCTGCCGAATAGAGACGAACGTTGATCGTTGCAGACGAGTTCGGTACGATCGGTAGCTGCTTCTGTATTTCTTCAGCATCCCAGCTGAATATTTGTTCCTGCAAATTGGGCTCGAGTATGCTCTGGATGGACACCTCGAGCATCTCTATCGCCACCTGGCTCGTGTTCGTCAGAGTTATAATGCACTCGGTGCTCTCGCCGTTATACAGGCTGATGCTCGCCGAAGTCACCACGTTCTCGAAGTTCTGGAACGTGGAGAAGGTCGCGCTCTGCGGCAGCGAAGTCTTCACTTCCATCACCGGTAAACTGGGAATCACCTACGATAATTGAAGATTGTTTGTCATGTACGAATCAAATATTATATATATACCTCGATGCTGTAGTGCGGAAGGAAATTCTTCATGAATCTCAAACGACAGTTGGATTTTACGCCCAGTGTGTGAGTGCTGTATCCTAAAAGCTCCAATTCGCCGCTCTCTTTCGGCGTTCCGTTCAGTGTTAGCGAAGTCGGCGTCTCGGAAGGTAGAATCACAGTTTCGGGGATGGACTCGAAGACGACGCCGGCCGTCAGCAGACGCATGTTGGAGACTTTCAGCTCGAACGGTAACGGGTTCACCAGCTTCAGCGTCACTTCGCACAGATCGTTTTCGACCCAGAGGAAATCTGGAATTACCCTTTACATCTATACTGTATCATTAATTGGATGTATATCATTCATACCCATTTTGCTTTGTGGCTTGTTACTCTTTCTCTCCAGACTGCCAAAGTTGATGGGAGTGAAGAGGAACGGTCCGATGTCCTGCTTGGCCATTTGTATCTTCCTGGGTTGTAGATGCGGCTGGAGGTTTTTAAGCGTGAAGCCCGAGCAGACGGGGATGTTGCTCAGATTAGCTGGTGGAATGACTACGCCGTTGTCGAGGACCAGCGGCACCGGTGCTCCTTCGCACTGCGCCGACAGCGATTGCAGCTGAATGGCCAACTCCTTCTGGTCGGTCGGAGTCAGGTGATCCCACATGGTCTGCAGCATGAACGTCTGATGTCTGGTGGCTAATGCCGAATGTCCCATACGCTTGGCGGCCACCACCAGTTCGGTCAACAGATGTATCTGCAAGCTGGGCCAACCCATCTGATGCGGACTGGTGCACATCTCGGTGGGATCGAGGCTGAGTTTGTGTCCGGGGAAGCTCTGCAGCATCAGATTGTAGCACTGCGACCAATTGGGTGTCGGATTCTGGGCGGACACGTAACGGCTCGCTGCTAAACGGTGACAGAAGGCCGCCTTCCTCGCAAATCCAATCTGCGTGTACAGATCGGAGAGCATCTCGAATCGCTGCGTCTTCTCCTGCTCCGACAGCGTGATGTTGATGAAGACGACGTTCTGGAGGAAGCTGGCCGCTTGAAGTGAATAGTTCTGATCGACGGAGATGCGCGCCGCTTTGAAGCTGGCCTCTGTTTCTATGATACCCGCATTCTGATACTTGCTGTAGTGGATGATGGCCTCCCTGTATCGCTTAGGGATGTCTTCGGGCGTCAGAATGTTGAGAACGTCCTTCTTGGGATTCGTCAAATCTGGATTGGTTGTCGTCGAGATCGAGGTCCTCTTGGGGGATCCTTCCTGAAGACTAGCGTTTCGATGGAGTGGAAGCGTCCTCTGGATATTGGGATAGAGGATAAGCGCAGAGGCGGCGCACAATCCCTCGTAGGCTGCGCCCAACCAGAGCCAATCGTTGACCGATTTCAATATTTCGGCGGCATTGCTGTAATACGTTAGACTCTCTGGAAGTAGACCAGCCTGCAAGCAGAGATCCCCCAAGTGTTTCGTGACGCGGCCCGTGCATCTTTTCTTGTTGTTCCTGGACTCCATGTCCAAGCCGACGAAATCCTTCTTCTCGAACGGCGCCAGCAGCAACGAAACTCGCTCCAATTTCTCCCTGGACTTTTCCAAACGCTTCGACTCCAACACCCAGAACAAGGAATTCACGTACTCGGTGAGCTGCTGCTCCAGATCATCGCAGGCCTCGGTTTCCGCATAAAACAGAGCTCTAGATTTGAAATTGGATGGCGTCGTAAACTTGCTGTCCGGCGTCTTCTCCTCGCGCAACTTCTCCAACAGTTTCTCCACTTTCTCCTTGCGTGCATCCTCTGCGCTCTTCTCCACCGAAGACCTATCGTCCGTGGAAGATGAACTTTTTAGATTATCACCTGACGACGAATCGTAAGGGCTAGAATCGTCGTCTTTGATCACATCGCTATCCGGTGAACTCTTGTTGCTCTCATCCGCAGACGTCTCGCCAGGACTCTGGACCTCGTTTGGCTTCAACAGAATACATCGAGAATCGTACAATGTGCTCGTGTATTTCACCTTCAAACTCTCGTGCACACGGCAAATCTCGTTCAATTCCAGCTGCGAATCGTACTTCCCTATGGAAATCAATCCCAGAAGTCGTCTGTGCGTCTACAACAACATATAAAAAACGAACCATAACGAACGAACGGAATACATCTTGTACTGAATTCTCACTTGAAAATCACCCCAATCATTATTTTCCACTGGATATTCCTTCACATATCGCACATAGATGTTCCTGACCTGCCCGGAGCTATCAGTGATCTTCACTGTAGACAACTTGCTGATCCTGTCGTAGAACTTGTTGTAAGTCTTGGGCTTCAGCTGCGACCCAATATGCCTGATAAGGATGAGGAGTGCAGCGTGGTCGTGCGAGTACTGCTCGTAGTCCGGATGCGACATGTTCGGCTCTGTCGTGGAACTGGACAAGATGTAGCTAACCGAGGAGCGCATTGAAGTTTAATTCTCGCATATCTCTGCAAAACGGTGAAATCCAAGCACCATTAGAAAACAACAATTCATATCTCGGACTGAGAATACTTACATTTATTAAAACAAGCAAGTATTTCACGAAAAAACAACACCTTTGCTTATTGTTTTCTCATCAAGGAAACACAATCAGGGCAGCCACCCACTCAGAGACACATCAGCTGATCGTGCAATTAGTGGTGCAGGTCAAGATTTTATCATTATTCAACAATATATGCAATTTGGATGGATAAAAATCATATACTACAATAACCTATTGAGAAACACCTTTTTTTTGTACTTGCAAATGTAAAAACAGTCAATTTTCAAATGGCCTAAATCTGCACGTTAGTAGGAATTATGATAAGTATTAGTTTAGAATATGAATGATGTTTAATATGAAGAATGAATTAAACGTGATTCTTATAAATAGGCAGTACATACAAAATTTCGATAAAGTTCGTTGGAGAGACACTGGTCTTTGGAATAGGTCAGTGCTGCCTACACAACGAAATTTGGATTAAACAGCTGATTGTCAAAACTTTATAATATATTGATCCAAAAAGAAAATACAAATGCAAGTACATCATCGTATGGTCATATGGTTACAAAAATATTGCTCAATGTATATAATAAGTTCATATCACGATTCATCCATCCATCACAAATGATATGCAGATATGTGTACTTTGGGTCACATACAACGATTCCTTTCGTAATTACTATCAGAGACAAAAATAAAATATTTAATTACGTATACATACATAATAGAATAATAACATATTATAGTATATTTCTTTGTTGACATTTTTTCTTTTTTTCTCTTAGTTAATTAGAAAAGGGTAGGCGTAGAACGGACGCCTCCCTTCAAATTTGCAGGGCACTCTTGATTTCATTGAATAATAACATTTTTTATATCCATATTAATAATAATAGTAATAATTATAATAATAATATATACGCATATATTTAGTGTTTTTTTTCTCTCTTTTCTTTTCTCCAAGAAACATAAACTGAATTCCGAAGGTAACCAAAAAATAATAGTAATATTAAGCATTAATTAAAATTAAATTAAGATAAAATTTTCTTAAAAACACGTTTGGTGCTTGCTTTTATACTCTTTCTCTCTCTCTCTCCAATTTTTGATCTCCGGTGTTCCGTGTCGTCTGTGATTTGTGAGATTATTGTGTGGTAAAAATAGTTCAAATACTTTTCCATATAAATCCAAATCGTCGCTTAAACAATCGGGATGAAAAAGAAGTAGAAGAAAAATAATAATAGTAATAGTTGTTGTTGTTGTAGTAGATGATAATAGTGAAAAAAAAGAAAATCACGAATTTTACGCGTCGAGATCGTTCACGAACAGCACCTCCCGGTTCTTCAGTCCGGCCTGCTCGATGGTGAGAACCACGTTGTTTTCGGACTTGCATCGCAGCACCCTCTTGGGGAAATTGGTGGTGATCTCGAAGCTGTCCGGGGCGCTCGGGTGACTGAACACAAAGTAGAAAATCGCCTGCGAAATTGAATTTCTCATCATTACTCTTGTCATTATTATGGGAATTGGATAATCAACTGACCTCCAAGGAATGTGTCTTAAGGAACCTGCGACACAGACGTGTCCCGCACGGCAGTTTGATGACCACAAGGACGGAATTCGGATTGTCGTCGGTCGGCTCATCGGGCACTTTACTAACCGATTCCACCTTCTCCTTGGCTATCCGCTCCTTCCTTTCGATCTCCTCCAATCGTTCCTGCAACAACAACAACAAAAAGAGGTCGTTCAAATCAAATCAAATATAGAATTGAAATATACTACTTACCCTTTCGATCTCTTTAATTTGCTGCTCCTCCGCCATCCGCTCCTCCTCTTTCCTACGTTCCTTCTCCTGGTCCGCCTTCAATGATTCAAGGAAAGCCTCGTCCTGCGATGCCCTCAACGACCTGTTCATACTCTGCTCCACTCTGTCCGCCCTCGCCGACACCAGATTGACCTCGTACTCCCTGATCACCTTGGACAATCTGTTCTGGAAAGTATCGGCGTCGCAGAAGCCGACCATCCGTCCCACTATGGTCATGCGAGCCTCCTTCAGCACGACGACCAACATGTACGGATAGTACATCGGTCGGAACAGCTGCATAAGCTTGTAGCCATCGCCGCTCTTCACGGAGCAACCCCAGAAGAAACAGTTCTGGTTGATGTAATTGATGACCTGAGGATCGGCCAGCGTCGTTCTGCAGAACTTCACCGTATCCTCGGATTCCTCGTTGTGCAAGTAGATCAGCAGGAATTTCAATTCGCGCTTAGCATCATTCATCACCTGCGAGTATGTGCCCTGGTAGAAGACGGGATGCGAAGGCGTGTACTTCTCATCGTAAGTCTGTATGAAATTCATGACGTCCTGCAGGGGATTTGTTATGGCTTCAAACGCAAAAATTAATATACAAAACTCAAGCATTCCAATGGATGTCACTCACGTGGTCTATCGTTTCCAAATAGTCTAACAGCCGTGTTTATAATGCTGAACAAACTGTTGTAGCAGAAACTGACAAACAGTCTGATTATATTCCTCACGAAACCTCTGAAGCCACTGGCTGAACCGTCCGCCGGTGGACTGTAGTAGACATGTTGGGCAGTGTGGTCGGTCATCAATGCTGGTGGTCTCGCCTCCGAGGCGTACACAGATGGTCTTCCCTCTCTGATGTTCAGCTGCTCCTGTACAGCTACCTCCAGGTTCCACTGGTGCCTCTGCAGCACGTCCCTGCAGACGGCCGTGTCCTCGATACCTGTGAGATCTTGAAACTGCAGCACCTTCTCCGTTTGCCCCTCGTAATCACCAAGGTACGCCATCGAAACTCGTGCTCTTCGCGAACAACCGAAAAATAACAGTTCAGTCTACGACGATGCCGGAAATGTGAGATTTTTGCATGCACGACGCCCAATCAAGCACACATAACTATACTGATTTTCGAACGACGAGCCAGCCAGCAACACTTTCGATTTCGATACAATTGTTACTCGTCCGCCAGTCGTCGCCTTATTATTATTATTCTCGACCGCTTTTCTTCTTCTTGTCTCTGAGGGAATTGTAAATGTCATCGCTTTTCATTGTTTTTCCAAAAAAAGTCAGTGCAGCCAACACAAGTAACCATCACAACAAGTACAATCACAATCATCTTGACTGAACATCCGTTAATAATTGCAATCTTTAGCACACATTTCGTACAACAAATATAAAATGCAATAGATAAATCAAATAATTTGCTTTCTTCATGTAACTTAAGGCAGAAAACAAAGTTTGAATTGACAATAAAATTTGAATTTCGATGCAACCAACATTTTAAAATTTTATCATCTTTAGCACCCTCTTCCATCAAAAGTTTTAATTACATTTGTAAAGTAATTACAATGGGATTAAAGTTTAACGAATAACAACATAATTAATATGATTGTATGATAACATTTATTATTATCGAATTATAAATAGTTTTCTGCAGATCAAGTAAATTTAAGTGATTTACTTGTGAAACTTAATAAAAAAATGCCAAATACACAAACACTAAACATAAGTAATAGAGTAAAAGTGGTTAAAAGTAATCTTATATACAAACAACGATGGGTAAAGACTCTCATATTCATGAGAGGGGGGAAATAGTAAATACACCTTTTGGTGTATTTTTTTTACTTCTGATGTTTTTGTACTGAAAACGTTCTATGTAACACAACGAGTATTATATAATAATTGTAATTAAGGAAGGGTGTACAGACAGAGTGAGAGGACAAACATTTATATCATTGACTTTTATGTTGACTATACAATGATGCGAAAGAAACAGCGAGAGAGAGAGAGAGAGATGTCGTCTTACGTACGTATCGCTGAGAGAGAGAGAGAAAAAGAGGTAGACTAAAAGGAATAAATAATATAATAGAATAATAATAATATAATGTAGTAATAATAATAATGATAATATTTATAATCTTCAAGACGGGACAAATAATAATAATACTAATAATATTGTGTTAAAACAGAAACGATCACAATTAGCTTTGCAACAACATTCAGACTGAGATAAAGATTGGATTTGATTTGGGCGAAATAAATATTGAAATTGATGGGAGCATCTGGATTGGAGGCAAACGTAGTTTCAATCATTTCTTGACGCCCACTCAACCCTCCTCTTTCTTGCCGCCATCGCCACCGCTGCTGCTGCTGTTTTTGCTTATTCTTGCAGCGTTTACTGTATTTAGAACGTTGGGGTCTGTGCGATCGGTTGCTGCTTCTCGAGGGCACTGATGAGCACTTGGTGGAATCTGTCCAGAGCGGTGTTCAGACTTAACTTGAGGCCTTTGCTGATGGGCAAAAGTGGAAAGTCCAGCTTCATGGACTCCGGTGAGGTATTGTTGATGAGCGCCTTCAGTCTGACGCACAGGCGATCCCCGCAATTCGAAAAGTGATAGAGGACCTCGTGCCTGAAGACCTGCGGCGGCGACAGCAGTAATTCCGTCATCGACTGCACCAGTTTCAGGATGACGAGCTCGTTGTATGTCCGCGAGTTCTCGTATCCCTGCTGCGATTCGCTCTGCTTCTCGTAGCCGGCCTCGTTGTAATACGGCTCCGCCACCAAGATCAAACCCTGTATGCTGACGATGAGTTGAAGCAGCGTGCTGTTCGGACCCCACACCTCGGTACCGCGACCCAGCCACGTACCCAGCAGCGAGACGCACACCCTGCCCTCCACGTACAGATTCGGATTGAGACGCTCAGAGCTGTAACTGATGTAGCTGACCAGCGGCGGAGATCTGGGATAGTCGGCGCTCAGCTGCATGTCGAATAGGAAGAGACCGTCCTCGTAGGGTGTTTTGTCGGGTCCTCGGATCATGACCGAGAGCAGATCCATGCGATTCGCATACGATCTCACCCAAACACCAGGTGGCAGCGATTCCCTCAGCAGATTGCTCTCTGTTCGCACCGCCCTGAAGAACTGCATCTTATCGGTGGGCTCGTTCTTCGAATTGAAATATCTGTGATTGGTGGGCGCATCGTCGAGCACGCTGTAGCTCTCGCTAACGAAGTTGCTGCCGGTCGGCTTCGCCAACGAGCCGAATTTCGGTGGCGTCAGCGTTAAGCTGGTGAACGAGTCATCGGGCGTAGTCGGCACGCTCAGCATTGGAGACACCGTCGGCTCGGACGCTTTCGTCATCACCGTTAATGCCTGCGTTCCGTCCATCCTCGCCACGATCTCTGCGTATGCCAGATCCATTCGTGCCTTGATCATCGACAGCACCTCCACGCAGAGGTTATCCGATGTGATGTTGATCTTCTCGGATTCGGGAGTCGGCGCCAGCGACGGCTCTGCAAAATCAAATCACCCGTTATAATCAATCACTTGCAAACAAAAAGTTGCCCACCTCCACCCTCCTTGTTGCTGCTGCCATCCTTCGAGCTCTCAATTTGCGCGTTGATCTTATGCTCCAACCGCAACACCTTGTTGATGTTCTCCCGTTCCGCCACCTTCATCTTCAACGAAGTGCTGTTGTCTGATACGCATCTACCGAAGATCTCGACGCCGTGCTGCCTCGCTCTGTCCTTCACTTGCTGCAATAACGTCTGAAGCACATACGTCTGAATGTAAAATCACTTATAATCACCACATATTCATACCTGGTAGTGTTTGCTTTTGTTGTTAAAGAACGAAGTGCCTAGGAGCTTATCCAAGTAGCTGGAGTTATCGTAGACGATGAGCAGATCCCTCAAGTACTATAAATAGAAAGAGGGACCTGTGAATTTAGATGGCAACAAGTAAATATTTTAATTGTAACTTGCAGTGAAATTTTCGTAAACGGTGTGCTGCTGGAAGGCTTCCCGAAGATAGACTATCCGGCTTCGAACAAAATCGAGACGCGCTGCCATATTCTGCAGAATCGGTTCACTGTTCATGTCACCGGTTATCGACTCGATGCTCTCCGTCTCCCAGGACATCTGACCGCTTTCATTCTCATCGTCGTCGTCGTCATCGAGAAGATCGTGCGTGTCCGGCAGCAGCACCAACTCCTGCGGCGTGTATTTCCCCTCATCACCGGACAACCATTTAACAACTATGTAACCCTGCCGCAATGAACATGTAATGCTCGTAAACTTGAAACGCAAACGAACCTCTGATCTTACGAATTCTCACTCACCTGCGGACAACTGTCGTGAACCATCCCCAATTTAGCGTTGATGTTATTGCTGGAGTAGACGAATATGCCCGGCCTGAACGCAAATTTTGGATGCTTCGTTATATCGTAGACGCTCATCTCGTCGGTGTGAAGGTATTTTTGCTCCTTCTCTTGCTCGTTGTATTCGAACCACTTGATCATTGCGGTCCGCTCTAGGTAGTCGACCTTCTGCACGACGCCGTACTGACCGGAAAACTCGTCCTCGTTTTGGATCACCCATTCGCCGGGAAAGAACTCGTGATCGTCCAATGAGATCGAATAGTAGAGCTGAGTACTGGAAAGGTCCTTCTCCTCGGTTCCATCCTGCCACACGATGGTCACCTGCGAGTCGTAGCACGTCACCTCGACGGGCACGTTTAGGATACGCTCCAAAGTCACTTTCTTCATACCGCAGCGCTTCTTCTTGAATACCACCAGCATTCGCTGCTTGTCGTCGGCGATGCTGGACTCGTTGTCCGTGGACCACTCCGCCTCGTCGCTGGCCTCATCGTCTGCGGCCTCCGTATCCTCCTCCACGTCGTCCGCACCCATAACGTAGATTTCATCGTCCGTATTCAGAAGAGAATTCGAATTATATCGACTTCTCCTGCAACATCAAACATCGCACGAGTTTCCACGAGAACATTCTCGGATTGACTTTTGTTCACTCACTTTTTCTTCGTGCTTCCCGTATTTGCGGTGCCTTTCGTGAGATGCGGCATCAACACCTTGGAGCGTTTCTGCAGCCACTGTTTCTTTGTGATCATCGTATCACCTGGAGACAACTTCAGAAGTCGCCTCTCGCAAAGCTCCAGAGACCGTTCCTCCATGCTCTCCATCAGCTGCAATCTGTTACATAAAAATGATGATCATGACGACGAAGATAAACGTGAAAGGAAACATATGTACTTTGGAATTTCCTCGGCTTTAACATCGGCAATAGACATGTGGAGTTTGGACTCTTCGGCGGAGGTCGCGTCCGGTCTATGCCATGCTACATCCACGTTCACGATTTCCACGTTCTTCACGGTGAATTTCTGTCGCATGTGCAGATTACGCCGTATCGTTTTCGACTTCTTGATCCAAGTCGGCTCTTCCAAATTCCAAGGTACCAAAGACTATAATTAAATAAGAGTAATTCATTTGAAAAATCAAAATAGAGCAAATAGTTGTAATCTTACGACATCTTGGCCGACGTAGTATTCTCCTACGAAGGAAGAGCCTCTCCGTCCGAGCCAGTATTCTTCGATGTCGTGATTAATACTGTTCAGTATTTCCACGACGGAGCCACACTTGGACGTCAGTGTCACCTTCTGATCGAAATTCTTGAGAGAGTAGATAGGCCAATCAGATTTAAACAAATTATTAAAGTAACCAATGGGATTATATTCGTTGCACGATGTTGGCAACGAAATTACTAAGATTTGAATTGTCAAAACAAATATTTTAAAATTCAAAAGTCATATATTGTTTTTTTTTTGTTTGTTTCTTTGAATTCGACAGAAAGAAGGAGAAGAAGGAAAAAAAATGTATCGAAAAAGAGGAAAAGGAGAGACTCACCATAATCCTGCCGAATTTATTGTTGAGGCAAACAGCGGAACCATAATTGAACTTGAGCATGTTCTCCAATCGGTCCTGGCTCACGTTCTCGATGACCTTGTCCGTGCCCAATATCTGCACGGTGGCCACCTGCTTCGAGGACCTGCAGTAACCGCGCTGAGTCTCTTTACCATCCTCGAGTCTGCGGACGATATCACCGGGTAGGATGAATCTGCTCAGCAGATGAACGTTGTCCTGCTTCCAGACGTGCTCGGAATGATTGTGCGGCCAGTACACGCGGATCTGTCCCTTCTCGAGCGCCCCAAGACTGTCCTCCGATCCGGACGACTCGTAACTATCCACGACCACCCCGAAGACGATGCCCTTCTTCTTGTCGTAGCTGAACACGATATCGTTTCCGTAGAATTCCTTCACCTCTTTCGCGCCGATCAGCTGTCGCGCCTCTGACATTGTCTCCGTGATCGTCGCCACCGCCGCCGCCGTCGTCTCCTCCGCCGTTGCTGCTGCTGCTGTTGCACCGCTGTTCGCACTCATCGCGACGCCAACGTAAATTGAAACCACCACTGCGAGATTTTGCGCCTCTCAAACAAATCAAATGCCAAACGCCATTATTTTATATATTTTTTTTGTTCCACGACCTGCCAATCGGCGAGTGCGTGTCTATCGCTTCCTTTTTTTTGTGTGTGTTTTGTTTTCTACGTGCGTATTGAAATTCACACACACAAAAAAAAACAAAAGAGGAGTTAACACCGAAAACCCGCACGAAGAACGTTCTTCCTCTCCGTTCTTCAGGTGTCGTTAATCGCGGTGCTGATGAATCCTGGGCACGACGCACACACCATCATTCCCCTGAAATCATTACAAAGTTTATCGATTAGAAAAATACATAACGCGCGCCACTCCAGCACAGCGACATCTCTACTATATATTTTTGAAACAGTTGAATGTATCGTTGGTTGCCTGCAAAATAGCGTACTTCAAACGAATCCACCCACAGACAAATACTTTTCAATCTAAATTCGGGACGGGTCTTATTAAATAATTTCTGCACTGCGCGTATTCTAGGTTCCGAAGACATTTCAAAATATATTTTCGTTTTAAAGTATCCGTTTCGCTTCAATTATTATCAATCAGTCCATTTTGTTTCCGGTGATCAACCAATCAATATCAATTACATCATAAGCACATCAATCAAATAATCAATTAAACCCTAAATTAATAACATAATAGTAGTAGTAGTAGTTGTAAAATGCCTAATTCAATTTGAATTTTTAAAAAATAACAAATCTAGACAACCAATAATATATGTATGTATAATATATGTACAAACAACGCGATTCTATGTAACAGTTTTAAAAATTATAAGTAAAAATCTAGACGGAGGATTCATCGTTCTTCTCTGTATCTATACATAGATATATATGAGTGTATGTGTGCTATTATTATTATTTGCATTCATCTCCGTATTCATCATTACTTTTGTGTTTCCTTTTGGCAGCTTAATCCTTCTCTGAGCCTCGCTTCGGTAACCACCCATCGTCTATTACAATATCATCATCTCTGGATCCTCGATGTACTCTTTAAATGCCTGCAGCCACTTCGCTCCTGCGGCACCGTCGATGACTCGGTGATCGCAGCACAGGGTAACGTTCATCACTTTCACCTCTCTGAAACTGCAAAAGCAAACCGACAATTTCAGCATCGTACTAGATCATATCATAATTACCCTTTCTCTGACTTATCGTCGATCACCAATTTGGAGTTGACGCTGCTCGCTGCCAAGATGGCACTCTGCGGCGGGTTGATGATCGCTGCGAATTGATCGACGCCGAACATACCCAAGTTCGATACGGAAATGGTACCACCTTGGAACTCTTGAGGCAACAGTTTACCCTCCCTCGCTTTGTTAGCCAACTTCTTCATGTCAGCTCCGATATCGGCGACTCCCTTGTTATTCGCTTCGAAGACTATCGGCGTAATCAGACCTGTCTCGGTGGAGACGGCGACACTGATATCGACGTTCTTGTACCTAGAAAATAAACTCTGACCCGGTTATTATCGATCGCCGGACTTTTGTCGATACGATCGCATACTTTCTGATAAATGTATCGTGCCACGCGGAATTCGCGTCAGGAACTTTCTTGGAAGCCATCGCCGTCGCCTTGATAACAAAATCGTTGATGCTAACTTTGCCGCCGGTCTTCTCAAGTTTCTCGTTGAACTTCTTCCTCAGCGACATGACTTTGTCCACTTGCACCTCGACCGTTAAATAGTAATGGGGTATCGTCGTCTTGGATTGCAACAACCTCTTAGCTATCACAGCTACAAATACATACATTATTATAGCTAAAGAATGAATTTACATGTGCAAAACACGTACAACGCATATTAGTAACTGCAATATCCGTATAGGCAGCAGCTGGAGAACCGCCCATCGAAACAGGGGGCGGAGTCGAGCTTGGCGTTGGTGCACCAATTGGAGCGGCGGACGCAGCCAAACGTTCTAAATCAGAAGACGTTATTGAGTCAAACAATCCAGTTCCCTTTCCTACAATAAGTTGTTATACGTGAGTAATATTAATTACGTTATTAATGCATCCATCTGTGTACCTTGTAATCTAATGTTTTGTTTTTCGGCCAACCTTTTTGCCATTGGACTAGCGTAAACTCTGCCGGTGGTGACTGGGGGTGGAGGAGGTGAGGGTACAGATGGGGCGGGCATAGGAGGAGCCGGTGTCGGCGAACTAGCTGTGGGCGGAGGAGCGGATTCACTTTTTGCAGCAGCTGCAGCCTTTCCATCGTCTTTGTAATCTTTGAATGCAGCCAAATCGGATTCGTTCTCAACGATGATGCAGACCAATTTGCCGATCGGCACGCCCTTTGTACCGGCAGGAACCAATATCTTCGCCAGGTAACCTTCCTCGGGCGTCTCAAATGCCATGGTAGCCTTATCCGTCTCGATCTCTGCCAGCAGATCACCCTCGTTCAACTTGTCGCCTTCCTTCTTTTCCCAACTGATCAATGTACCCTCCTCCATGGTAGGACTGAGTGCTGGCAATGTGACCCTGGTGTGAGACGGCAGCGAACTGCAGTGCCTCATCTGACCAAATCCCAGCCATGGTTCGGATTTCAACTTTTGTGACAAAACAAATGAAACATTCCTAAAAACAAAAGACAATTAACCAGAAGAAGCCAACTAATAATTTAAATATTGTATGTAATCAATTGATTGAAGACTCTCTCTCACACACACACGCACACTATATATATTTTTTTTATTATTATTTCCGAAGGTCAAGCACATAACCTTAAAGTGCAACAGTCATTTTAAATATAAATAAACAGTAGAACAGAGGAAGCTTACTTGTGATTTGGGATGGGAGCCCTTTTCGGGCATTCTATTGCTATTGTTCTGGTTGCGTTCAAGCGCACAGAAGACCTTCTGATTATCGTCCGGAACATCGTTTTTCCTTTCTTCCAACCTCGACCTCTTTAAATCTGCTTCCTCCTTTCGTGACTTCCACCAAATTCACATGAATCGGACCTGCGGATGCACCACTTCACGTCGCTATCAGCAGATGCAAGGGGACGTTCAAATATTCAGCCACCTAAATTTGTAGGTCATTTAGGAGACTTTCACGCGATCATCCGTCACCGTGACACAACATATGACGCAGTTGATGCCCACTTGGTTGCATAACAAACTGCAATATTTATATATGTAATTGGAATCTGGAGTAAAATTTATATTTGGAAATGAATGTAAACGACTCGCGACGAACATATCCGCAGATTCTACTGCACCGATTAAAGATAAATTCATTGTGCGCAGTGCTTTTTATTGTTGTTAGGTTTAATTAATTAAATAAATTGGTATTATTGTCGATGTTTTTTGTTTTTCGAAAGTATTTGAACATCTGACCAATTGGAACTCAGTAAAACATTGTTTCTTTTTTATTGCACTTAACAATTACTTTTGTTCAGTACAAGAACGTTGTTTTCTTCGAACTGAACGAGTTAGAAAGATCGAATATTGTAAGTAAATCAAATTAAGTTCACTTTTGTTGCAAAGTTTCGTTGGTTTTCCAATTCGAATGATAGAACTGATGATAGATGGGTTGCCCACCTGTGGCTCGAGCTGGCCAGCTGACCGCAGACCGAACCTTTGACAACTGTCGCGAATTGGATTCCAAATCGAAAACAAACCTGGTGAAGATGTGTCGGAGAGGTTTCGTCAAATTAAAATGAGCGCATTCCTAGTGACCGTGGTAGTCATCGCCGTGATCTACTGCACCATATCATGGTACAGTATAATTATATATGCACTTAAGTGCAATAGAAATTACATAAATTACTAACTTAAAGGGTGTTACCAAAAATTATCGCCTGGACGTTCGAGAGGAAGTACAACGTGGATCTTCGGATCGGCCGCATCGGCCTTCCCTATTTCAAACTTTGCGACGTGAATCTCTGCAAGAACGGATTCACCATTGTAAGTAGGCTTACCCAGTGTTGTCAATGGTTACGGCATTTGTTTATTTACTTGTTGTGTAGCACATAGAGGAGATCAGCATCAACAGCAGCTTCTTCAACTCAGAAGTGACGAAGCTTGTAACACTTGTTGTCAAGGATGTTCGTATCAATAAGGATGTGGGAACTCATCAGCAGGAGCAGATTGTTCCAGTGGCACAGAGTAGGGGCAATCCGATGGATTTTAGGAACAAGAAAATTCCGCGATTCATCACAACCTTTGCTCAGGTAAATTCTCATTTTTCATTCTTTTCCTCATGTCTAAGTAAACATATATATATTTTGCAGTTTATGGCAATTCATGTGTACAACATATCTGCAAATCTGCTTCATTCCGAGAGCCCTGGATGGTTGCTGCATGCAACAGCCAGTGAATTGCATCTGGATGGGAGCATCGTGCAGAATTCCAGGACGTTATTGGTGAACGTCAATATGTCTGAGGCCTCTGCCAGAGTGTTGAGGCACTCTGACAACAAGAAGAGTAACTATGAGACTTGTTTGGGTGAGCTGAGCTTCGCCATCAGTTTGGAGGCGACGCTCGTCGCGCAAGGACCTCTTTCGTTTGAAGTAATCCTTGAAAAATGTTTAGTTTGCATAGAATAATCTTCTTTTTTCAGAAATTAAGTATCATCATGTCTCAAACGAGCGCCATGATCAGCGACGATTTCTATACGCTCTTCCAGAGGAAGCAGAGCAAAGAGTGCAGTCCTCGCGTTACCCACGTTTCCGATTGCAACGATAACGATTTGATGCTGAGGCTGGCTCCTGTCGTCCCGAAAGTAACAACACGCACGTTATTTATTTTTTTTTTGACCAACAATGATTGTTTTTAGAGTTTTCTGATCAGGATCCAAGAAACGAAGCTGCGTGGAATGCGCGAGAACAGTCGCACGGAATTTCGATCGTCCCTCAAGAGCTTACAGATCAACTTCAGGTTCAACAGCGTATCCCAAGTGGGCGATCTCCATCTGCCCAATCTGTTCTTTTCCTTCAAGCTGGACACGCTGCATCTGCACAACAATCGCAAGCAGCTGCTTTACATGTCACAGTTCAAATTGGACGCTAAGGTTTGTCATAAGTAATTGCGAGTGTACAAGAATACATACTGATATTTAATTGGTTTTGCCAGTTCGACTCGAACGTGGTGGATCTGTATATCTGCATGAACACGCTCCGCCTGACGTACGATCATAAGAGCATCCACAAGTGGATTTCCATGAATTTCCTGCAGAACAAAGGGACGTCGATGGTTGCGGAAGTCTCGGAGGAACAGGTTATGGTGGTTGCTGCCGCTGGAGGACGGTCCGTGCTGGAACGACTGGCCTCCATATACGCAGTGAATGGATGCGCGGAATTCATCGGAATTTCTTTCACCATCAAACTCAACAGCGGATACAACTCCGTGGTCGGCTTCAATCTAGTAAAGTTGATTTTGAATCAGTTCAAGGATAAGCGCGGTAATTCCCAATTACTAATACATCTATCCCCTATTGATCAATTCAATATGTGTTTGCAGCTAGTTCATACAGCAAGTACTTGCCTAGGTTGCTGCTAGGCAATAGGCATTGGCAGATGGAGGTGCTCATGGAGTGTTTGTGGTGGAGCTTCAACGACGAGTGGACGCGGGGTTCCATCAAGTCACACATTTGGGACACCCCTCTCTACCTCGACATGGCACTAATCAAATTTGGAACTCACGACAAGAACGAAACTAAGATCGAGAGTCTGTTGGATACATTGCAGTTGGAGTGGTCCAAATATCTAGTTTCCTACATGATCATGGTGATACAGTGAGTTTACGGAAATTTTCGTTAGAATTGCGCAATTGCAAAAGTGACACCCTCAACCATCTTTTTTAGATGTCTGAAACAGTATCGAATCAATCCGGGAGCGACGAAGAAGCGTGTCCAAAGATCAGAGGAACACAATCTTAAAAATTTGAATGTAAAATTGACCCTGCACAATTTCAACGGGTTCCTCTTAACTCAAACGAAAGGTATTGGAACGGATATAGGAAGGTCTTCAGATGTTTATTGTGTTAGTTTAATTTCGCAGAATATTTGGTCGTAAGATTGGACGAGATCTCATTGGAAAAGAGACGCAAATGCTCCAAGGTGCATTTAAACAATTTCAAGGTGTTGAGCGTCCTGAAAAGAAATACGTTCTACAATTGCGTCCGATGCGATGAAATACCCACCTACAAGGTGTTTGTTAAGTCGGCAATCATCGAAGATGATGTCGCTATCAGTGTGCAACTGCTGGAACGGATCGTGGTTTACTGGTCAACTCCGATCCATCTGAAACTGCTCTTCCTGTTTAGAGACATAAAGGAATTCTCGCTCGTCCTCGTCGAGAGTTTCGGCTCAAGGATCGCAACCACCCAACAAAAGCAACAACACGAGATGCCTTCAAAAGAGAAGAGGACATTCAGCGTGAACATCTGCGGACTTCTTTCATTTCACATACACATTTCCCAGAGGCACAACGCCAAAATTGAATTACGTAAGGAATTAGTGAAATTTCATTTAACAACTATTAATTATTATTATTATTTTTTAGAAAATTTGTTATTGGTAAAGGCCCCAATGGAAATGGCTTTAACGAACACGGGTACGGTTATTTCCATCGACGATGCCGAAGTCTTTACACTGCAGGGCATACAGGTGCGGCCTATCAACGCCGACGAAGATATAGTGAGCGAGCGCATGGAAAACGAAAGCTTCGAGCTGCCGTGGAATCGGACCTGGGGTGTCAACATTGATTCGTTTAAGGCAATTTTCCCGTACGATCTAAACTTCTCCGACGCGATCCAGAACGAGTTCGTTTCCATCTTCAAGTGGCTGAAAATCGTGCACGGCAAGCAGAAAGTTCCCTTCACCAAAGACAGTCCCCTTCCCGGAGATTTGCTGATCAATGTAATGTATATATCATTTAGCATCGAATATATTTATTAATGTTACATAATTGTTGTTCAGGTCAAAGAGTTTTTGTTTGAGTTATCGGACGATCCGTTCGAGGTAAAACTCCGTGATAATTTCGAATTGCTGGAGGATGAATACAACGAGAGTTTGAAGCGCAAGAAGAAATTGGCAGATAAAGTGGATGAACTCACTAAGAAACATCTCCATTTGCCAGCGGGGAAAGTCGAAGAGTTGTATGCAAACCTGAAGCAAAAGAACGCAGAGATTTACATTCAGAGATCGAAACAGCTTCTCCTCACATCACCACCTCGCACCCGTCTCTTTGCTTGGAGCATGACCAACGTTGAAATTATGGTAAAAAAAACTGATATAGTTGATATGTACACTATATGTAATATTACCACAGGTGTTGGCAGATCCATCGATCCACGGTACAGAGAACGTAGTCAATGCGATGCAGAGGATAGACCCAGAAAGTCCGTGGCCTGAGGAAGGAATCGAGTTCTCAATACTCTGGTGCAGGGCCGTATCCATGAGATGCGAGGAATGGAAGTTTCAGTTGCGCGACTTTCTACAACCGCTCATGCTCATCAGACATTGGTACATCTGCGGACAATTGGTTGGAGCAGAACAAAGCGCACCCAGACGAGGTAAATTCTGTTTAATATTATACTTTATTCGTTATATCAGTTTATATCAATATTCATGTGGAATGCTAAAAAATATTTCAAATATCAATTTTATCCAAAAAATGGAATGTTCTCGCTGATGGTGTCCGTAATATCCGTGAAGGTTTGCATGGTATCAAGAACCAAGGAAATGAGACCGTCTAACAATTCGGAGGGATCAGGCATCGCTCCTCTCTTTTCCTGCAAACGTCGTGTATACATTTGAGAAATAAATCCGCGAAGTAATGTAATGTAAAATGCCTTACGCGATTGCAAATAGGTTGACAGTGGCAAAACGTGAAGATCGTGGCCGTGGCAGACCAAATTACAGCAAACACTAGCAAGTTCCTCATGGTTTCAGTGGTGGTTATTCTTTTATATTATTACTGGTTGATATTTGCTGTGTTTGCGCCTCTATATGTATATCGACATTTACAGATGGTTATCGCCTTACGACCTCGACGTGTGTATATCTACCGTCGAGGTAGAAAAATATGATAGAATCTAATAATTTACGTTTAATGTGGATGCTGTTATTGTTTGCTCATTAATTTACTTCCTCTCTCGTGTTTATGTCAGCGAAACGTGATGTTGTTGTCGAACTGGATGATCAATTCGAAACGCCGACCATCGAACGCTCTCTGCTGCCCTTGAAATTCTACCACGACTTTAACTGCGAGATTGAATCGTTCAGTTACGCCTTTGGCCCTTGCTGGGAGCCAGTGATCGCACAATGCAATTTAAGTAAGTGGATTTTAGAGTTTTAAACGGATGAAGATACGATTTGGGCTTACAATTTCAGGTTTCGAAAACATTTCGGCACCTTCTAGAGACCCGTCGCCTCCGCTTCCCTTTTGGGATAAAATGAGAATGCTTTTTCACGGCCGTCTGACGATGGAGGTGCAACAGCTCACGGTACTTCTGCACGCTTCGCTGGATCCTTACAACACAACCGAAGAAATGGAATTAACTTGGAGTCACGTTATCATGGATTGGACAAATGGTATTATTATCCATTATTATGGTAAATTGGTTTTACCTATTTATTTTTTTTCAGCAAAGTTTGTCTTCAAAGGTGATTTCGGTATATTCGTAAGAACAGCCTCAAAGTACGACGACTGCCATCTGATGCAACTGCCCAACATAAAGTTGATCGTGAACATCCAGTGGGTGTGTCTCGGGGATCCGAACGATCATCACAACGTTATCCAATGCGCGCCCGATAAAATACCCGAGTATTCGAGCAACCAAGTGCACGATTCCTTCCGGGCTTTCCGCTCTCAGAACGTGAATCTTAGCCTCACGCTCGAAACGAGACCGGTCCAGGTACCCAGCAACGTAGAGAGTCCCATGCTCTCCTTGTACGGGTCCACGTTGAGATGGTTCGAGAACTTGAAGCTTATCCTGTCGGGGGTCACGAGGCCGACGCGACGCGGTCGCATCTTCAACAACATTCGTCCCAGAAAGATCCAATTGAGTAGACACTACAAAAAGATCCATCTCTTGATTGGTCTGCACAAGTTCCAGGTGTGCTACTGGATGTCGTTCGCCATGCAAAGAGGTTGCGAACTTCTCGGAGGCAGAGTGAGCTCCAGCTCGGAACATATCCTCTCCCTGAATCCGATCGACGACGGCTTGAAGCACAGACCCAAAGCGGAATGGTCTATAATGTACATGAACTCTGAACTAAATGATTCCGAGATCTGGCTAAAGAGCGCCCTCACCGAATGCGACACCGAACCGATGACATTACGACAGCCGGTCGAAAAGTGCTACTGCCTTAGCGTTGCTAAGGTCTCTTATGGCAGGGAAACAGTATTACCCAATAGGGAACTAGGCGATCGCAACAAGGACACGCCCACGCATCGTCTGGTCGTATACGATTTGAAAGGCGCCTGGACGAAGAGCAACAGGAATGTGGCGTTGGCCTTATTCGACACCTTCATGAAGAATAAGGTAAGGCTTTTTCATCATGGTGGTGTTGAATCATGATCGCTATATTTTTTGTTATGAACAGCAAATGAAAAAGAATTTATCCACGGAGGCATTGAAAGGGTTCCGGAAGGAAGCGAATACGACGCCCCTGAAGAGGAGGAACACGGAAGGACCTGGTACGCCTCCAAATGCATCCACAATCCAATCTCTGCAAACGCAATCTGTCGTTCAGGAGGCTCCATCCCCTCTCACCAGGATCCAGTCGGGGCATGCGGCGAACATGTTGCAACAGTTGATCGCCGAAGCTGAAAACAAGGCTGTGGTCTTTAGCGATGATTTATCATCTGCCACAAGACAGCAGCACTTGCAAGGACTGCAGGCCTGCCAGGAGGATGACGTGCAGCACAAAAATTGGAACAGTAATACCAAACAAAACAAATGAATGCAAACATATAATTCATGAATCTATTCATTTTCAGTTACTCTGGTAAATGCTCAAATGCTACTGAAAGGTTGCGAGACGAAAGGTTACGTGATTCTGAGTGCGGCCAAAGCGGAAATACTGCAAAGGATTCATAGACCCGTATGGAAGGAAAGAACTTTGGTATCGAAGACCACCTGGGTAGGGACGTTAGAATGTCTACAATATTACGCTACGGTCAGCGCCGGAGAGAACGACACGATCAATGGTAACAAGCTGGATGACTTATTTATTTTTTTATATATGTATTCCATTTCAGACAATATTATGTGGTTAACTGTCGATAATATCCAAGAGAAAGAATCTTCAACAAATTTCCCTGATGTGTTGGCGCCTCACATGGTTGGAAGCGGAGTGTCCGTTGGGGCTGTGGTCAGCGACACCGTAGGTGCTCCGAATGTCGGCGATGATGGACCCATTCAAGTAAATATTACTCGAGTTGTGGAGCGCCGTCTAAACATTGTACAAATGATCGAATATGTTACAGTTGCAAAGGATTGTGTCGCGCTGCAAATGCGAGTTCTTCTACGCCGGTTACGGCGACATCAGCGTCGATCCTGGCGCTGTAGGTGAAGTACCGCCACCTCCGCAAGAAGACGTGGGGCTCTGGGATCGTCGACAGACTGCCGTTAATGCCTTCACGTTGATGCACCACGATCTAGATGTGTGCACAAATTCGCTCCAGTACGCTATGCTCCTCGACGTCGTCAATAATCTACTTCTCTATGTCGATTCGCAGCGCAAGGAAGCGTTGGAGAAGTTGGCCAGGATGCGCTTTCAGCTGCAACTGCAAAGCGCCGAGGATCAACGAAAACCAATACAAAATCTGCAAACGAAAGTTAGATCTTTGCTCAGCAGACTGCGCAGGCTAGAGAAGGAGACGTATCTATTGCATAAGGCCCGGGTGGAAGATGCGGGCAGCTCCGATCTGGTCACTGAAATTGAGAAGCTAGAAAATTCGGTGATTATATACATGCACATATACTATTGTTCTTGAAACTAATGATACGCTTTCTCTTATTTCTGAAAGGTGCACGAGTGCAAAACTGAATTAAACACTCAAGCAGAGAAACTAGATATGATGCTGTCGTGCTACAAAGAGTCTCAGCTTTTGGCGACGAATCGATTGGCGACCACCCGAAACGATAAACCTCTGAGCATTGTGAGAGCGAACGAGATTTGCTTCAAACACGCACAGTGGCGTCTGACGGAAGCAGACGGACAAATCGGTATCGCCGATCTGGTGCTCAGCAATTTCCTGTAAAATGTCGATTAATTCCTAGTGATTATTATTATTAATTATAATTTTGAAGGTATACGAAGAATTCCAAAAGCGATGATTCCGTAGAGCATCTCCTGGAATTGGGATACGTTCGTATGACCAATCTCCTTCCCAATCAAATATACAAAGAGGTCCTTCTGCCCACCGAGATTAAAGGCAACATGCCGGTCGAGCACAAGGTGACATCCGACTGAAATATCGCTTCATTTCTTCAAGTTATTAACATCTATTTCAGAGGGTTGTCAGGGTGTTCTGCAGGGAAAAACCGCCGGTCGGAGGTATATCGGTTAAAGAGCATTTCGAGATCAACGTCGTTCCGTTGACCATCGGCTTGACGAAGAAGTTCTACAACATGATGTTGAAATTCTGTTTTCCCGAACGCGACCCGGATAACATCGAGGGAGATCAGAGAGCCGGCGACGAGATCGAAGAGGCGGCGGTTGCACCGCGCGGCAAGAAAAATCGAGGATCGGGTAAACGTAATCGTGATTCCAGCTTTTACGTGCACATAGACGACGTGGAGAAGATGAAAGAACGAGCCGAAAAGAACAAACTGTTCATATACATAAAGATACCCGAGGTGCCGGTGCGTCTCAGCTACAAGGGCACTAAAGAGAAGAACCTCGAGGATATCCGCGACTTTTCGCTGGTCATTCCGACCTTGGAGTACCACAATGTTACGTGGACGTGGCTCGATCTGCTCATGGCTATCCGTTCTGACAGCAGGAAAGTTATTTTATCGCAGGTCTGTACGCTAATATAATTGATTCCAAGACATTTATCACCACCACTTACTTATCTATATGGTATTGCAGGCGATCAAACAGAAGTTGCAGCTGAAAAGAAACATTGGTTCCTCTGATGAAAGTTCCTCCCCTCAGGAAGAAGATAAAGCGCGTATGCTTTTCGGTGCTTCCCATGTAATATATGACCAATTTGCAACCGTATATATAAATGTACTGTAATCGTTTGTTGGTTTTTCAGGCATCTTCAGATAGTAAGAGCATCAAGAAAGGTGTATTTAAATTCGGAAAATGACACAGGTTCAAGTGAGCTTTTCACATCCCCACACCACCGCCTATTTTTCTACTGATTTTTTACTCGCGAATCTGCCTGCCTACCCAACACCCATTCTTTCACAAAGCTGTATTTATGTAAGTATATACTATATATATATATATACTGAATATTTTTTAGATTGATTGTTTGTGGTCGATTGAAGAATGTTGTTGTACTTTTAATGAAAACTATTTATTATGTGGTATCAATATTATATGTAACTAGTAAGATGATTAGGTTATTTGTAAGGCCACTGCTGCGCCTGCCTGTGTCCCACATACTTTTCCTTGTACTTCAAACCAGTGACCAGAGTTGAGCTCTTTGGGAAAGTGGTCTTCCCATCAAACGTTTCTAAAACAAAGAAACAAATTAAACCATACAGTTTCATTCATTCATTCACTATTATATCAACGTTACCTGGATTGTATCGAACGTAGTCGTGCTGTATATGTAAATTGGCGGGTAACTCCACATCCTTGAATTTATCCAGCGGCGTTTTCGTACTGATTGGCGTCAAGTAAAACTGCTTAACATCGTCGACGGATTCTATGGTGTGCAGAAGGGAGTTCGGTACACCGTGCTGGAACTCTCCAAAGCAGGCGTTGAGGAACTCGAATTTTGCGTTCAAATCGGTGAGACGTCCGTCGCTCGTACCGAGGACAGTCTTCGCGATTGCAGAGAGCCTATCGTTGACGTCAGCCGGTGGAGAGTAGTCCTTTTGCGACCTCAGGAAACTATTGAATCATAATTAATTGATGAATTATTAATTTCTACATAAATTGAAAATAGCGCGCGCGCTCCTTATTTGTTTGCTGTGACAGCTGTCAAATGTTGTTTAATAACCTACAATTATTGACGTTTATCGGTACGGTGGCGCCGCGGCGCGTTTGAAATTGAGATGCGTTTGAAATTGAGGGAGAGAGAGGATAGATAGAAAGCAAAGAGCGGAGAATGTCAGTTTAGCACACGGGGTTCTAGATCGAGTACACACCCTTTGGATGCCAGAGATTGCGCCGTCCATTCGAATCTCGGTGGTACCCGTCTGTCGATGCCCTTCTTCTTCTCAGCCTTTGTCGCGTAACCGTTGAACAATACCACCGCAACCTGCAAAGAAACGATTATTAGATAATATATCGAGACATTTAGCGAACAACATTCGTTCCATTCAAAACTAGTAGCAGCCGCACATGGTTTACACACAACGTAAACAAGTTTCGAATAAGTGCGGGAAACACTGTTGCTGTGCGTCGATTGGTCGATTCCAATTTGTTTGAATAGTTGGTTGCTAACCACCAAAACTACTCGCGCATGAAAAGCTAAGGGAAATCATCATTTTCTATCAACATTTCCCCATCATCATCATCATCAGAAGAAAAGTGATCCCTAAATTATACCGTCTAACATTTCCGCACAGTCCCAATTCGTTTCATCGAATCCCGCTCGATCGCCGACGCAGCCAGCCACTTCGATGTTCGCGTAAGTCTAATATGAATCTCGCCCAACCCATCCGTACGCTTAACTCTACCCGTTCGCATCCTGTATTCGGTTTATATTTACTTGGTTGTTCAGCAGTTGACGTCCTTTGGATGTCCCATGCCTGACGATCGCCGCCATTCTTGCTCACATGTACACATATGTGAAAAGCGGCGTTGCCAACTTTTCTCATCGTCTCAGTCAATGAAAACGAATTTGACGTTTGCGGCGACAGACAGACAGAGACCGCGAACATTTGAAAATTCAAATCTCGCAAGAGAGAAAGTCGCGCATCGCCGTACCATAAACAATATTATTAATTAATAATATTCCTCTCTTACATCGTTTCTATTTTATTACAACCTGCTTCTTTTTTTCTTTTTCAACCTACTCTTAATTAATGCTTGCTGCTTCGCATTTCCAATCAATTGACGCAGAAATTTTCTAATCTACAACGAAATGAGTTTAAGTTTGCGAATTTATTTATATTTGATCAAAGAAAGCTTCGAATTGAAACAATAAAACTGCAACAAGATATAAAGACATATAAAGTCGTCGTCGTCGTTGTTGTATATATTGAAATGTGAAACTGTTAGTTGCGTTTCCGTTTTGTGTCACGTACATACTTCAGGTCAAAACGTTTTCTCATCGAGAGACAATTTTCCTTAAAGTTAAACAGTTAATATAATTTATTTATATATATATATATATATTAAATGTGTCTAATCTTGCAGATAAGTACGGCATCGTGTAGAATGTTTAATATTCATCATCACTAATTGTTGTTATCTGTCAGGATTGTCGAACAAAAACAATAACTATTGTCATCGTAGATAACTTGACTATTTTTGCATAGAAACAATTTACATGCATTATCAATATTGATCAATTGTCATTTGTTATAAATAAACATCTGCAATTAATCTATTGTTTTTTACTTTTCTTTTCTTTGATACAAATTGGATTTATAGTAAATACGGAATGTCATAGGCAAAATATATTGGGTCCTCTCACCCTGTATACGCATCTAATTAGAATCGCGTTGTGTCAATATTTGTGGTTTCACTTGAATTCCAATAAGTTCCTATTATTCTCTGTTTGCGTAACAATTTTCGAGCGTGCAAGTGTTTCCTTTTCGTGGATCACCAACGTTTGAAAAGTAAATCAAATACTCTGCAAGTCTCTGCTTGTTGAGAGATGTGTTTCCTTTTCTGGATTGTGTGTGTGTGTGTGTATTATAGTTGAAGTAATAATATTTTGAAAAAGTGCGTAATATGTTACAGATGTGGCAACAGAGGCGGGACGTATGTCGTCCGTTCTAGGAGGATCTAGGGGAGCGGTGGAATCGACGAAGGTGGCGGCGGCGGCGGCAGCGATCGTGGAGGAGGCGGTGAAAAGGTACGTCCGTTCTCGTTCGTGCGTATCGAACGGAGGAAGAGAGCGATAGTCGTGCGTCGTCGTAGCCGGGTTCGTGCGACGTTCGGGGGAATGCCTCGGCTTTCTACCGTTTGGAAGCGCTGGATCTAGTCAGTGTAGAACCCGCAGCACTGTCGTCGCTTGTGTGTTGTTTCACGTCCGCCATTTTGCAGTCGCCGCGACACATACATACACACACACACACGTATACACAAAACAACACACACACACTCACACATGTATACATACGTACACGCGCGCAAGAAAGAAGAAGTGCAGCAGCAGAAAAGGTGTAGAGAAGAAAGGAAAGACGAAGGAGCAGCAGCAGTAATTGACGACGTAGACAACGACGGAGGTGAAAGAGGCAGGAACAGAAGAAGAGAGTTGTAGTACGTCGCTGCATTCGGTCGGATATTGTAAGCGGACTTACGGCAGTCGAGCAGCGCGCATACATACGTTCACACACACACCAACACCAACGTCGCCTTTCTATCTCTCTCTCGCTCTCGCTCAGTGTGTGTGAGTGTGCACACGACAACAATCCATGTTCGGAGTGCCGCAAGTACGAGGCCGGGGAGGACGAGGACAGCACGCATCATCATCATCATCGTGGTCGTCTTCGGGCGCCGCCGCCGCAGCCGCCTCCTGCAACAGTCGTCACCGAAGCCGCCGCGGTGGTCATAGGTAATACGGTTGGTAGTGGTTAGGTGCTGTGCCTGCCTGCCTTCTCTATCTCCTCCACGGCAACCGCCGCCGCGACCATCGCTGCTCGTTCGTACACACACGCAGCCACGGAGAGGTAGTCAGTCGAACGCGCATACATGCATATAATAGACATACACATCATGGAGCAGCCCGCGCCCGGTCGACGATCAGTGCCGTCTGAGCCGCGATAGAAGAGACAGTTAGTTGGACTTTGCGAGAAGAAACGCGAGTGTTTGTTTGTTGTTCGATAGTTAAAGTGCAACCGAAACCATCCTCTCCTCTCTCACCCTAATATATATATAGTGTGCGTGTGTGTGAGAGAGAGACAGAAGTAATTGTTTGTGGTGTGGTTTATTGTGTCGAAAAGGCAGAAGGAATAGAAAGAAGAAGAAGAAGAAGCATCGGAGAGTGCGCGGCCTCCCTGATCACACACATCTCTCCTCCATCTACCGTGCACACATACTTTCAACAACATAATAATAATATACCAGTTCTGCCAAACCTCTCGGTATCTCGTCCTCGCTCTCGCGCATACACGGAGCAGCGACGACGAAAGCAGTTTCGGTTTGCACCACTCTTTCGGAGTTTATTATTTATTTTCGTTTCGTGAACATCGCCTCAGTCCTCGCTCCCACCCCCTTCGCGAGTGCTATTATACCTACTACGTACGACGACGATAGGGATTGTGTTTCTTCGACAGAAGAAGTTGTGCTGGTGCGGAGTGCGCGGATTCGGGGGGTCGACCCCCTTCCCGACGACGACGACATATACACACTCACACACATACATACTCGCACGCAGAGAAACCGAGAACGTAACCCCTCCTACTGCTGCCGTTCTATACAGCGCCCCCCTCTCTCTTTCCCTCTGCCGTTCGCTACGCCGATCCATCCGTCTCTCTCTTTCCCTCTATCGGTGCGAGCAATCCGTCTTTCTTTTTCACTTCACTTTTGCCCGGTCGCCCGTGTGTCGCCGCCGCTGCGGGAATTTTCCCCTCCCGCCCTGTGCGCGCCTTCACTCTCCTTTCGGCGTTTTCCCTCCGCACCCGATGAAGTGTTGTGCTTTTCAATCACAGTGAAAATGGATCTACTATGACGCACCCAAACCTACAAACTAACGGAGCCAGTCTAGAGGATTGCCACACGAATTTCTTTGCCTTGGTGAGTGCACTTTTACAATACATTTAATAAATCACTCTCTCACTCTCAATGTGTGTGTGTGTGCGTATGCATAGTTGTCTTTGTCTGTTTCCCCCCGCACCGCAGCGGGGCACACGTATCGCCACACGCGCGCTTCGCTCGATCTACTAATATCCAGACCTCTCACCTTCATCCGTATCACATCTATTCGACACATTTTCAGTTTTGGAGAATTTTTCTCTTCGGTTAAATGCGTATCGCCCATCCGAGTTTTCCGCGAAAATATCGCGCACGCCACTGTCGCGTGTAGACACCTGAGAGGCGGCGGGAGACACACGGCCAAACAACAACAATAACAACGGTAAAACGAAATTCCCCTATTCGCGAACGAACCATAACCAAATTGGAGGATATTAAGGAAAGAATTAAACGCATTCTTATTATTGCGTCATGCTCTCTTCGATCAATTTTGATGTTATGTCATTTGCTATAGGCAGCAACGTATGTTTTGCTTCTTGCAGGTTAGAAACATTTTCTCGGTTTCCCTGAATTATTGTTTACCTGACGTTCAGCAATACTTTTCCGCTGAAAAAGCAATTTTAAATCGTCTTGCTTTAATATTTTAGCAAGAGATCACATTTGCCTTTCTCTTGAATCATTCATTCAAGTGCGATGCACCACTATTACCTTTTGTCTTAAAGTACGCAACAAATATTCTAATCAATCGACAATTCTTAAAGAGTCTCAACTATTAGATTGTGACAGGAGATCATATTTAGTTACGGTGTTTCTTCTGTGATAGTTTCGAGCTCAATTCGGGTTCTAATCGGAGCGGAACTGCATCAGATTAATTAGCATTTAAGTCGATTAATTGTTTAACCACACGTTTACTCATCACAATGTTTTATGTATCTCTGGTGATTTACATTTGAATCAATCAATTTGATTTGATTGTTTCAATTTGTAGTTTTATCCGCGATTAATTATCGTTGTTTCATCGTCCAGACATTTTCACCACCATTATTTAATTACCATCAATTTATCAACTCGAATGCACTTGTTTTTTTTCCTCTTTATTACCGGTAGCGAGCGAAGATATCGAATGTCAAATGGAAGCTGTCTATTAGCGATATCGTTTTTATTACAAAGTTTCACGCATATCAGAACGATTCGGGTTCACTTGCTGATAAACCTGTTACGGATGAAATTAGCGAATGCATCTAGATGCAATTAAACACTTATCAGTACTTTTCTCTTTCTTCCTTGGTCTCCTTTACTCTTGGCGTGCGAAATAAATGAAAACTCGCCTATGATATGTTGAATGATTGCAAACTGTTAGTTCATAATAAAGTCGTCGCAATTGTCCGAATCTCGGCAGGTGAATTGCTAAATTGCGAAAACAAATTTGTCGAATCGCGAGTTTATCGGCGGGTTCGAAACACGCGAAAAATAAACAACGGTAATTGCAAGGCGCGCGCGTTCGCGATAACAACGAAACAATGCGGCATCGATTTACCTCAATTGTTTTTGTTTTCGTTGTCCGAATCCGCCGGATTTTTGTGTTTTGTTTGTTCATTTGTCCGTCCGTTCGTTCGCCGATTCTGTTTTCGCTTGCGACGTTGCCTCATCGTTTTTCCTCCCGACTCGACTCACGGCACAACTCGACTCGGCACCCGGCCGGCATCGGCGTTTCTTGGCCTACATATGATGTAATGGAGCGGCAGGCGCAAGGGGGATCGGGGCCGGCGCCGCCCAACCGCCCGCTCGCTGCCGCCGCCGCCGCCACCACTGACTGATAAAGTATGGACCTTAATGGGAAATTAATCAGGATGTAATTAAATTTAATAGCGTAGCTGTGAATTATTCAGACGGCCGAGGAGGCATTAAATCCTTCAATTTACGCACACTCGCATTCTAGATTAGAGATGACTCTCCGAATTGCGAGAGGGAATTATTATTATTTGCATGAGCAACACGAGCAACAAACTGTTGTGTTAATTTGCGTCTTAATTCAATATCTATGCGCGACTGTTTTTTTTACACACTGCTCCCATTTCTTCATTGCTTTTATTTACGAGTCTTATGTATTTGTCGCCGCCATCAAAGTCAACAATTCGATTTGCAGAGTATGTGTTACCATATTACCATTACCTTAAAACATTTACTGTTTTTTTTTTTGTACTATTTAAAGCTAATCATGTTTCTGGCTAAATGAGCTCAAGCTCACATGTACGCCACCCCTTAAAAATATCTCACTCCATGTATGTATATCTACTCTAAATAAATATTTTTTAAACTTAAAAAAAAAAAACTTGCAGAGTATGTAGTTCAAGTTCGCATCAAATGGGTTTTAATTAAATGCGACAATGAGTGGAAACAGGCGGGAGAGAAATGAAGAAAAAGAAACGTGAACCTTCTGGGGGTCTTCGAGTCCATAAATTTTTACGACTTTTTATTGACTCTCATCTTTATTGCCTGGCGCTGCGCCGCGTGCATTTATTCAAATTCGCATTCATCGTCACTTTACAAATCGTCATTAGTTGAATAAGAAAGTTCATTCGTCCGTCCTATGTGAGGACTGACTGACTGTGTGTGTGACTGACCGGAGCAATCGACAAATTCTCGATTTGCGAAGGCAATTAGAGTGTGCTTAGGAATGTAGTTGCGAGTTTGCGGGAGAGAAAGAAAGAAAGAAGAGAGACTGTTTGCATTCATGCACCGACGTTTATGTATTTATGTTTGTTTACATGTTATGTGCGAGGGGGGAAGTCGAGTGGAAGTCGCGAAACTTGAGTCTCTCTCTCGCCACACAATCCGATTCAATTCTAATTGACGTCGATAGTTGTTGTAGCTCCGAGGAAACCGCGATAAAATAATGCAATACGACTATTAAAGCGATTATTTTACATTATCCATCGAAAATATTGTTTGTACGCATTTTATAGAAAAATTATTATATCATTGATAATAAACGACACATAGATAGTTTAAATGTCATTGCGTGTTGATGGCAACAAGTCTGGTCATCTTCTCAGGCTTATTAATTGATTGAATTTCGTTTGTTAACAGTTTAATTGTGAGCACAAGTTTATTTATTTCGGTTGGGTATTCAATCTTTCGGTGATTATCGGAGGTTGTTTTGGTTTTGCGGCTGCCGCCTGCTTCGGAAAGTCTGTATTTATTTGTTTTGTGCGCGCGAGTGCGGTTGGTAATAGTAAATATACGAGCTCTTGTATCGCACAGGGAAAAGATGAGGAGAAGGTTGGAAGGAGCGGCGGTGATGATGATGAGGAGGAGGCGGCGGCGGCGCTGACGACGGTGATGATGCCGTTGGGTTTGGGAGATGATAGAGGACCGTGTGCTCTCCTCTGTCCCTCTTTCTCCACTCTTCGCAGCTCTCTTTCTATTTCGTGTGAACGCACTCGCGGCCGGCGGCGTTGCCACGTCCGTCGACTTAACGGTGTCTCCGGTGCCTCCTCATTCCATGCCTCTTCTAACATAATATCTAGATCGGTTTCCTTTCTGTTTTCTGTTTGCAGCGACTCGCGAGCTGAGGAGCCTCCTTACTGAGGCTCTTTCCTTTTTCCTTTATTTTTCTTCTTAATCCTCATCGGCTTCAACATCATCATCTTCATCTTTTCCCCTCATAGATACAAACTTTGCCCGGCTCCGGCGAGAAGACCGACCGACCGACCTGTCCGCACTATATGTATACATATATATATATATATATACATACATACGTATACACAAGTTGTTCATCGACCTTGCCTTGATCCCTCTCCGTCTATCTCTCTCCCGGCCCCTGTCTGCACTCGGTACTTACTCTCCTCCGGCTCGTTCGCTCCTTCTTTCCTTCTTTTTCTCCACTCTCATATAATATATATTATTTTGCTACAAATTCCACATTTAGACGATATTCGTCTGCAATGAAATGAAATTAACAAGAGTAGAAGAAAGTTCTCGCATGCAATTGGTGTGATGCGGTGGTATGTGATGTAATCCGCGATTAGATAACCGCGCTCGACGGTTCGTGAATTTGTTTACCTTCTCGCGCCGATAACGAAACGCGCGTAACGCGAAACCCTGACCAATCGGTTTCATCCACACACAAAAATATATGTATATATTATTGAGTGTGTGTGTGTATGTGTGTGTGTGCGAGAGATAGAAAACAAATAAATGGCAAATTTGCACGTTGGCACTACTGAAATGTACCAACAACATTCGCTACAACAAACTGAAGGTGTGAGATTCAAAATCGTAATCAATCGAAACGTTTGTTTCAAGAGATCATCTTGACTTTCATTTGACTTTCACACGTACTTCCGTATTTACATTGAATGCGAGTGACAGCTCGAATGTTGTTAACAGATCTTAAAGTGGATTCCTATTTGTTTTAACTTGATATTTTTGTTCTGCTTTTCTGTTATATAGTTTCGCAAATATGTTTAGTTCAAAAACAGAGAGATTAGTTTACGTGTCAATGAAATAATGATATTATGGCATTTCATTTGACAGCTCTCATGTTAAACGTTAACCATTCGAAGCGAACCAAATTATTAATTTTTCTAATTGGAATAATTGCAATCTTTTACATTTGTTTTTTTCATATTACATTTGGCATTAGCCTGTATATTTGCACTTGTTTCGATGCAGCTAGCTTCTATAAATCACAGCCGGAGATCGATTGAAATATACATGCTACGTTACGTATTATTAATATTCTTTCATTTGCTTTGTACGAATTGTCCCGGCGTGTGACGTTCGTTAATTATTCGGTGAATTTAACATGCCGGGTCCTCTCTCGGCGTATATTTACAGTTTGGGTAAAGCGCAGGTAAACGACCTGAACGCCCGCCGCCACCGCATCACCACACCACACCACACCACCACCATTCGGAATGCTAAGCGATGCATGCAAGTCGTTTAGTGGGGCTGAGATGAGATGCGATGCGATGCTCCTCTCCATCCAATAAGTCCCATCGAAATGGAATTTATCTTGTTTAGGGTTGAGAGACTATACAACAAGTGCGCGCGATTCTCGTTTCTCTTTCGACTTTTGGTCTGGAAAATCGGAGGAGATTGTTGGGCCGAGATTGTCGTCGGCTAACGAGAGAAAGAGAAGGCCCTTGAATGACAAATTAGGCCTCTCCAGGTATTTTCTTGTTCTTTCGTTGCTCTTTGTCGTCTCTCGTTTCGTTCGCTCCCCTTCCTTTGTATGCGAACGGTGTTTCGTCGAGTTTCGTGTGGGAAAAAAGAGAAAAATAAGTTTCTCGAGCTTTACACACTTACTACTTGCCTCGTTGTTGTTTACATTTCACCTAATAACTTAACAATATCGTAATTATGATGATGATTCGAAATAAACGAACGACACTTTTCGTGTCTCCTCTGATAATATGTCGATCGGAATGTCAAATTGTTGTTATCGTTGAAAACAACAGATACGTCCAGTATGTATTTGTACTAAAAACGTACGTTCGGTGTTCTAGCCGAGAACGAGCCGTAAGCAGCCCGTTCACGAAATCAAGGTCGCGTTCCACGGAATGAGGTTATTACGCGGCGGTGGCAACGCTGTTTTTAGCCATTCTTCTGTTTCTTTCCTTGGATGCCTGCTTGCCTGCCTGTATGCTTATTTTTTTTTCTTCTCTCTCTATCTATTTTATTATACATAAATATCTGTGTTCGCGCGCGCTCCCTCCCTCTCTGTCTTCATGTATTTGTGTGAGTGTGTGTGTTCATGATGGCATGAGTTGGGTTTTGAAAGAAGAGTAACTGTTTTGCAGATCGGAACTGCTTAGAACGTTGATCGCATTTCCTATTCTCCTCTACCTGGACTATTTCTCGAAACTTTATTCTCTTAACACAAAAAGTCGATTACTTTCTGCACATCTTTTTCTTCTTCTGTAGCGCTGCACAGGGATAAGGATAAACACATCTCTAATTTTAATGGATGGTGGCGGCGTTTGTTGTTTATACGCATCTTTCTTCTGCGGAAATTCCGACGAAATGTAAAAAAATGTTAAATATTTTATCTCTTCCTCGTTTCCAACCGTACGATAGCTTCGCTTGATGACGAGAGTTTAACGATGGTTAATAGACCGGTAGCCTCCCGATAAGCTGTAGATGGCGCGAACGAAATTCAACCGTAAATGACGACAATAAAACACTTCTTCCCTTCATCTATGCTCTTTCGAATTCGATTATACGGATGGATCTTAGAGTAAACAACAGTTGTATGTTATAGTTTTGCAGTTCATGTGATCGTTCCTCAATTTATAACATGATTAAGATTGGTCTGTTCTATCTATATGAAAGTAGAAAGATATCATTTTCATTCAGTATTTTTTTTTTCACCTAAACTTTCTTTAATTGCAATTTTGTTTTCGGTCATGAATAGTTTCTTATGTTATCAAATCTGCAACGATCTTTTTTTTACCTATTGTTTGAATCACGGAGTTGCTTGCTTTGCTACGTAAGTCTTTAGAGCGCAAAATGAAATTGTAAACGCATTCGCGAGTCTCACTCTATTCTTCTTCGTGTATTCTTTTCTTGCTAGTTTCTTTTCATGTTTTTGTTGATTTTTTTGTTTGTGTGGTCAAGGTCGATTTAAAGGTAAGGTAAGCAGAGTGTAGGAAAATGGATGTTAGACAAGTTTATAGACCACACACCGGAAAAGACCGGTCTTGTTGTGTGCGGGTCGATGCGGAGGTACGCTCTTTGGTCTCCATTTGTTCGTTTGTTTTCGAGCAAAATATTACACCGTATAGAAGGAGTTAGAGTCGAGCGGAATGAAAATATTATTATTATTAATAATAACAATATTGCGGAAAACACTCGGCTCTTAACGCTTTCTAAGCTAGCTCTCCTCCTACCTGTACCTTCAAACGCTTTTGTAGTATACCCATTCTAGTGTTTTCGCATGGCATTTATGTTACATGCATCAAATGTTTGCAAATATTCTACGCGATTTTTTGTTTTGAAATTTCCAATTAAATGATATTATCTTTGCTGCCTATATTGATAATTTCCATGCAACGGCAGCGTCGATACAGAGATGAAATATTTGCATTTCTCTTTTTTTTCCTTTGCGGGGGTGTGTGGTGGTTGGGGGTTTGTGTGTGTGTGTGGGACCGCATGCATACCGCGAGCGTCAATCAATACCGGGGATTGCCGTTTGGAGAGAGGACGACGGTCGTGGGCGGCGGCGGTGGCAGCAACGGAGGAGCGAAGAGAAGGGTCGACGGGGAGCAACGACTAACTGTGGGGGGGTTGCGCCGACCCCGAGCACAGCAAGCACCCCCTCGTCTCCGACCGTTCATTCCCCCAAACGGTCCTCGTCCTTGTTGCTGCTCAGTTCCCAGCAGCATCGACCACAAACGAGCTATCGGAATACTCGGTTTGAACGTATTTCCATTTTCTTCCCGTCCCGTTTGCAAAATAGAGACGCAATCTCACGAATATGTTCGATCGGATTGCATCGATCAGTTGTCGAGCAAACCCCTAGAACCGATGGGAAGTTCGATGAAAAGGATGGTGTAGGAGTAGTTGTAGTAGTAGAAGAAATACGCGCCTGCCGCGGCAGTTCGCATGCAAAAAAGCGCGTTACGTAAGCGACGAGCGAAAAACTCGGCCAGGTGCCTGCCTTCCTTCCTTTCGGAGGCGTAGAGAGAAAGTCTCCGCTACTCGAGAGAGGTACCTACAAGGTACAATAGCAGCAGCAACAACATAATAGCTGTTGGCAGCAATAGTACTTACTACATCTTATCTACTACTACTATTACTACCACTGACTGCACTCTCTGTCGTGTCGACGAAAATCCCGAAGGCCGTCGCATAACTTTCATCGTACCCATTTTTAAGATGAGGAGGTGATCATGTTAATTAGTGATATAAGCACTAGATCTAGTCTAGTTGCTACCGCCAACTAAAAGTTGCTCAATCACCAAATAGTCAATATACTGAGTTGACTTGACTGGTGACCTACTAAAATCTGCAATATAGCTATTCGCTCGCTGCAAAACGAAATTTCTCTTTTCGACACTCTCTTTCTTTTTCTCGATTGCCAATAATAACATTGCACAGTCGATCGGTGATTATTCTGCGAGGACGACTCTGGCTGGATGCATTTGACTAATTAACTAGCTAGCATCTAACTGATCGATGCCGCAAACACTCCATCCACTCGTCGGTGGCCGTGAGATTGTTCTATGCGCAAAATGAGCTTTCTACATTGAACCTTGAAATGATGTAAACAAATCTCGATCTGAGAGCGAGCGAGTTTTCGTGGATCGTCGATAACTGACCATCACCGTCCAACAACGATGATCCTCCTTGCCCTGTAACGACCTTGCCGTTGAACGAACACAATGATTATTCGCTAAAAGAAAGAAAACCTAACCTATTTACTTGCTATCTATCTAATAGGAGGAAGAATAATTTAAATTCGATCAAGATGGGAACGGTCAGTCACAATCCGTCGTCATAGTTCACACGTACGCACGTTTCGCCGCCCCACATCAAATCTTCCTTGTCGCAACGAAACGCACGTTAAACGCAATCAACAGGTTGCGCTCACATGCATGTAATACACACACACACACACAAAGTTGCCAATAACGCGGTTTCTCGGGCGATTACGTCGCCGTTAAAGGCCTCATTTTGTTCGGCAAACAGGATAATACCCTTTTTCAGTTGATGATCATCATTAATTGTTCCGGGCAAGTACAGCGAACGAACGATACGTTGCTAACTCAAATCCGTAAGTAATTAATAAAATAGTATAAAATCGAAAGCAACGATTGTTCATTTCAATTTATATTCGACAGTAATTATTTGGCAAGTAGTAAGCATATAATAATAATAAAGCGGTCTCGCGTTCGCCAACGATTAGATTTATATTTTGACAGCTGTCACCGTATTTCTCGGTTCGCTCCTCTTTCCGTACGTATCTGTTTCGCCTCGCATCCTTCCGGAGCTACCAAGGCTGGCGCAGTGCCAGGAAAGAAAGTCCTGCCGCTAATTGCCGACACCGCCGCATTCCGGTGGTATTGTTTACCTACGGATCAGTGCTGCCAACTTTGTCGGTAGGTCGGTCGGCGGTCACCCCGACTCTGTTGCATTGCTTCTGTTTGTTTTGGTTTTTTGCACGATATCTGCGGTTACCGCCCGCCATCCAATAAAGAGTTTTGTTGTTGTTGTTGTTTTGTGTAAACTAAACATTATCTATGTTTGATTATGACAGTGCATTAATTTGTTTCCTCTTTTCTTTCTGTTTCAGACTGAGTTATCCGGTATAAAATGGCGTAAATTGGTGTGGAGCGATGCGGTTGGGGTTGCGGTCGACCCTTTGGAGGACCCGGTGTTGCGGAGTTACGCGCGATGCCTGGCGGCGGACATCCTGTGCGTGTGGCGACGGATCTCCACGCCACATCAGCCTACGACGATGTTCGATATTGCCCAGCCGCCCTCGCAACCGCCCCCGCTCAGCCTCTGTTGCTCCAAGGAATTGTGGATCTTTTGGTACGGCGAGGAACCGGACCTGCACGAACTCGTCTCCAATGATCTCCTCAAACAAGGTGAGAAAAGATAGAAACCTGATTTACTAGGCATTTTATCCTCTGGCAGCTTTGACTTTGACGCTTCTCATTCCGCGCTGCTGCATATTCGCACATATTCTCGCTAACCCCCTTCCTGTGTGGTGGCCTCGATCGGTGCTAGGAGGATGGGGTGCGCTGAGGTCTTTATGAGGAGGGCCGTGGGGGCGGCGAGTTGTTATTGATCAAAATCCCGCCGCGTATTATATATATATAATACTCTGGTTGCCCTCATCGCCGCTCGGTTTCTTCGGTGGAAAATCCGCGCTTCTCGCAAACAAATAATTGATGTTCTCGCATCTGCATCATGTTGTTGTTAGCCCCTTCCGTTCGAATTGCATTATTGTCCACCTCGATCGTCAGATTTTAGAATTTCGCGTTCACTCCGAAAGTGTGGGAAAACTGTTGAGAGCAATCCTCTTCTCTTCTTTCCACTCCCCTCGGCGGCAGCGGCCCAATAAAATGAGACAGATGTTCTGTGAAATGCTACCAAGGTCGTCGCAACCGTAGCTGCCTGCCTGTTGTGTCTTCTCACCTCTCTCTATCTCTGTGTATTTCTCTGGCAGGTATATGAAGTCCTTGCAGTTGGAAGAGAAAAGTGATTTGATGAAACTTTTGCGTAGAGGAAATAATATGTGTATGTATTTATTTATACAAGCCGGGGAACTGTATCCGATATGGTATGGTATGGTTTGAGGGAAAAGCGCGCGCGGGGGCGGCTCACGCGAACGCCCCCAGGCATGTCAGTGACGTCCGCCAGGGTCAGGGAGGCGGTGTCCCGATTTCCATGGCAACCGCATCCCGAAACCACTTATCGATAACTGGGGAAAGGAGGCCCGGCCCCTAGAACACCAACCACTGCCACCGCCGCCGCCGCCTTCGTTTCGATCTGCCCATCGCCGAGGCAACAAACTTAATTTTCTTCGCGCAATAGAAAATAATAGATTTTTGGCTCTCTATTCATCATTTATATTCATTCCCATGACGTAGCTCCGAAGATTGTTGCACCCACTGACTGGTATGCGGAGGCGGACCTCTCCAATTTGCTCTCTCTCTCTTTCTCTCACACACACACACGCTCTCTATTTCTATCGCTTTTCTCTCTCTCTCTCTCACCAACCCGCACGTATTGATTTTCTTTTTGGATTTTTGAATAACGCTCTGTGTGCATTTTCAACATCATGATCATCATCATCATCTGCTGCTAATCCAATTCAAAATCTGTGTTTCGAATACACGAACGTAGGCGCGATGCAGTGTCATCACAATCATCGTCTCTCATTGATATATTTTAGTGACGTGACGTCGTCCTAGGAGAGACGTCACGCTTCGTGACGTAACACCCCCGCCGGTATCCGTTCAGTTGAAAGCATCGAACGACGAACGCAGAGCATCGGTCCGTCCGTCCGTCCGTTCGTCTCCCGCTCTTCCGACAGCACGCGCACATCTCTTCTTCCCATTGAATTACGAGGATGGTATTCGCAGTAGGCTGCCTTTAATTGGCCCATTACTTGCCTTTGATCATCTGCACTCGGAACAAAAACGTCACCATCATCATCAATCTGCGTTTCGTAACACGGCAGTATTCGAATTTAATATCAACCTCGTAATGGACAACAAACACTAACAAATTTATATCCCATAACTGGTTTACTGCCAACGTATCTTTCTCCTCATCCGTCGCGCAGCACACGGCACATTATTATGGACGAGTTGTATCTGCTCCGATCGTTGTGATTTTAACCTATGTGATATGTATACAATTTAAAGAACAAGTATAATGTCTGTATCGAAGAGAGAACGAGGTTTTCTCGGATGCCCGGAAAAGTCGACAATAGCCGCGTCGAAGATGCATTTAACATTAATTGTAATCTTTGTTGAGGCTAATAATCGGTAACAGTTTTTTCTGCAATCCATCCACCTAAACCATATATGTATTTATATATACAGAAAAGCAAGAGGGCGGGTGGAAATTTTCCGGTCTGCATCTGCTGCCGTTGCTCTGCTGCATGTGACACTGCGATAAATCACCTTCGTATTTACCCTCTTTTCGTAAACATCTGTTTCGACGAAAATAGCAGTTTTTCCTCCCAAGTCCTATCCAGTCATCGGATTTCTTTAAAAGTTATTATCGATAGTTGTTAATTTAAATAATCCGCTTTTGTTGTTATTCGATCGGTCATTCTTCGAAATGTCTTAGCACAGAGTTATTTGATAATGTTAAGTAGTAACCTAAGGGTAGAGTTAGTCAGTTTCCGGTAGGTCGTAGCCCATCTGCCTCGCATCGTACCGCTTCGCCTCCCTCCTTATCTCTTCTTAACCAACTGTTTTTCCGCGTGTACCCGTTGGCTGGTACAAATAAATTGCTCGTGCAACGGGAATATTATTTTCTAGCGATTTTGCATTCGCGAGAGAACGCGTTTTCTACTACTCTAGAAGACACCCGATTGGTGGATTTCACCACAAGTTCATCAACCTGTGCACACAGCACTCTCGCACACACACACACACACTGATACAACCAATACCCATGCACACTTGGAGCGTGTCGAAGTTCTCTTAACCGAGAAATAAAAGTCAAAAATGTTATTAAAATGAAAGAGAATAAAACGATACAATACTAAAGATTTAGTATGTATTCGGAAATATTTGAGACATTCATCTTTTTTTTTTACCTCTTGGTACTATGATTTATATTTTCTATTATTATTATGTGGTTGTGGTGATATGCTCTGCCTTTTGCCCGAAAATCGATGGCACCCCGGCGCTAGCGTTTTTTGACCCAAACGCACCGCACCAACACCACCACCCATCGGTAGGGGAAAAAAAAAGAGAGGAGACCGACCCGCGTGTGCCGTGCCGCCCCCCAAAACTATTGATTGCCGCACAGACAGACTCTTCGAAGTAGATTACGGTGTTAACGCGCCAAACAACAACATACTCTGTGACTCTGCATGCATCTTCTTCATCAGTTGGTCGTTGTTTCATAATGGCAGCAAATAAGAATGAATGAAGAGACTTTCGCCTTTCTTTAACTGCATATGCCGTTCCGCTTTATCCCCCCTGTATGTATCCGTCGTTTTGGTAGAATCTGGCGCTCTGCCATCCGAGGGGAATCCCCCGTAACTACGGAGACACGATGATTTCTTAGATTTTCCACTCGTATTGTATTACGTAATTGGTGTCATTGAACTTTGCGTCCTCATCGCAGTTGCATTGAAGTGGTGGTGTTGGTGGCGGCGATGCCTTCGCCAGTTGCAATGCTGGACGACAGTCGAAAACTAAATATGCGATAGCTATTACATATTTCCTTTAATACAGCAGCTATAACAACATCAAAACAATCTCATTCGCAAAGTGTCGAATTAATTCTAAGAGTATTAGTTCGAGGAGTTTGAAGAGAAAATAGAAGATCAGGAGAGAAGGAGTTCTATTGCCTTTTTGGCACGCACGCTGTGTAGATGGTATCATCGATTTGCGCCGCGTGGGATCGTGGGAGGCCGGCCCTAAAGGACCCACGTGCGCGGTCGCGCACTGTTGCCAAACCGTCCGAATCGCAATGACCGACTAGAACAAGCTGGAGGAATCCGGAGAGAGAGAGAGAGAAAAAAATAATAATAATGAGACAACCCAAACAATGACCGATCACAAAACGAAGAACTAATATTTAAGAAACGCTTGTAAACAATAATATTAACGAAAGAAACTCGTCTAGCCGCGAGTGCAACAAGTAAACGTACAGTTCGGATTTATTTATATTTTATTTTTTTGAATCGTTTACTAAAATCGCTTCGCAACGAAATGGCAACGTTGCGATGTACACGTGTTTTCTGCACCCTTCTTTTTTTCTTCGTTCGTATTATTTAGCACGTGCGTTCAGAGCGGCGGGAGGGAAACGCTGAAAAATCAATAATAGCAAAATTTGAAATGGTTCGTAGACCATCCATCCATACATCCATCCGACCAACCAACTAGCAACCGACAACGACGGGCGGTTCACATTCTGCATTGCAATTTCATGGTTCAGCAGATCGTCGCTTGCTGCTGTTGCTGCTCTCGTTTGTTGCGTCAGTAATGCGATAATGCGATCTTTTGTAATAAGGTAACGATGTTTGCCAATCGGTCACCACCGCCGCCGCCATTCTGCGTGCAAATGCATTCCTTCTGCTAGTAGGATATTATATTTATGAATGGACGGAAGGAAGCATTATTTTTTATTGTTTTGTTTGTTTTTGGGCTTTGGCATGAAGAGGATTGGATCTGTTTTGTTGTATCGTATCGTCGAAGAGGTTGTTTCAACTGCTGCGTGCGTGCGTACACAATGGGATCGTGATTATTATATTGGCGTAGCATCCGCCACAGGAGGAGTTATGGAGAGAATGATTGAGTGATTTAATCGACCTTGATCCGCTTTATATTTAATGTAGTTCACTGGGTCGCACCTCCTCTCCTCACCTTCTTCTTTCTTGTTTTGTTGCTGCTCAACAGTCGCGCGAACGGATCGTGTTTTATGATGATGTTCGACTTCACTTGACTTGTTTTACGAATTTTACTGAAATATTAATGTGTTTCTGGTGGTTTCAGAGAGCGAACAAGGTTCCTGGGAGAGCGGACTATCGTACGAGTGCCGATCGCTGCTGTTCAAAGCCTTGCATAACCTGATCGAACGATGTCTGTTGTCCAGAGACTTCATTAGGCTGGGTAAATGGTTTGTGCAACCATACGAGAGTCCGAGGCGGACGACCGAAGGTTGCTCCGCCCATCTGTCGTTCTCGTTCGCGTTCTTCGTACACGGCGAGAGCTCGGTGTGTGCGAGCGTCGACGTTCGGCAGCATCCGCCCGTGCGGAAGCTGGCCAGGATACATCTTCAACAGGCCCAGGCCTCCACCAGCGGTCTCAAAGGTAATCAGAGATTAAGCAAATTTTCAAGTTCCTCACACTAAGCTCGTTTCCTCTCGTTCGCAGTGATTTTGGCGCCCTTCGGTCTGGCCGGAACCCTGACGGGGCAGTGCTACAAGACCATGGACTCTGGAACGAGGATGTTGGACGAATGGAGCCAATTCTATCCGATCGAGAAAGGGAACGGTGAGAGCAACGTCGTCGAGGTGATCGTCGGTGGAGTCAAGATGCGCTATCCCGCCTGTTACGTCCTCGTCACGGACATGGATGACCACGATAACAGTTCGATCATGAACGGCGTCTGCCTGACCCCTTCGAATGCCGCTAATACTCTGACATCGAAGAACGGATCCTCATGTATGTTTTGCAACAGTACGAAGAGTTTTGGAGTAATTAGTTAATTGCTCTTTGTGAAGTGTTTGATCTAGGTACACCGATAACGATACAGACTCCGCCTCCATCGCCTGTGCAGATCAACAGCAGAGTGCCGCAGCCGGGTCCGTTCTCGGTCTCCGTCGAGCATCCCGCTTCCAGCCAGCGCAGTCCAACGGCGGCAACCGTCTTGCCGGAACGCGTGTGGCAAGAGTGCATCCATGGAGGACCACCGCAGACGGGACCGCATGAGAATTCGGGTCATTGGGACTTCGTTGACCCGACCCGTAAGACCAACTGCACTTGCTCAAAGTGAGTACATAGCGATGAAAGCAAGCATGTAAGCTAGAGCAAACCAATATTCCCTCCAAAACCTATCAACACATCATATCCCTTCCTCCACCACCGTACGAGTAGATAAAGTGCATGCATATTTTTTTCAAATTTAATTACGATTTACTCGTCATTACTTTGTATTCAATCTTAATATTATTTAATTTCTATATAAATATATTAGGAGAATTATTTTGAGTTGTGCACGTGTTGATGTGTATTGCAGGTGTAGAAAATACATTGGTGGTAATGTGATGGCGACCGCGAATGTCAATGCTAGTAAATGCCAAACGGGGGGCGGTAGTAGTAGCAAAGGGGCGGTGTCGTCCGTGAGCGGCTCCTCCTCTTCGTCCTCCTCCCGCTCGTCCAAGAGCGGCGGCACTCGGGGGGTCAGAGTTCCTTTCCACAGACGCTCGCCCCTACCGCCACCGGCCACAGATGCCACCGACAGGTTGGTCACCGCTTTAAGGGTGACGGGCTTACTACTACTCTACCATTACTACTACTACTACTATTACTACTATTATTATAAATACTGTACGCATTAAAAGCATACAAGCATTTATGAACAAGTATGCTTGTAATGCGTATTATACGTATAATAATATCATAATACCATATTTAATAATAATAATAATAATACATATTAAAATTGCACCGACATTACTTTTGGGGGCGGCTGTGTGTGTGTATCCACATATATGTATGTATATGTATATAAATGTGTTTCATTGCACCAAAATGAAATATTTTATTTAATAACAAAACAATCATTTGCATTTATGTGTGTGAGCCTTGTGTGTTGGATGTGTATGTTTTCATCGCACATTTCACGTTTATTATTTTGTTTGTATCTTTTGGGTAGCAGCTTATCATTTATTGCATGTGGTTGAGAATGGACCTGAGAAGAGGAGTGAAAGCAGAAAAATCACGATGATGACGATTCCTCAATTATCAGTCTGATTTTTGCTTGTAGATGTCCTGGACTGTACACACCGCACGGCGGACCGCCCTCTTATCCGCGGACGCAGGAGTCGATGGTGATCCCGTCGGTGGGTAGTCCACCGTCGGCGGCGCCGTCGCCGCTTCCCAATCCGCATTCGCAGCCGGCGTCGGTACCGCCCGGTGATCAGGTGATGCCGACGCTTTCGCCTCACCCGCCAACTGTTGCCGAATCGCCTTTGGACAAGAGTCTCACCCCCGATCAGCCGCCGAAGAGCACTGGTTCGACGGTGAACAGTCCGCATCCGGTGGCCGAATCCAAAGAGAACATACCTGTCACCGTTTCCCCGATTCCCAGTCTCAAACGACCCGTCCTCATCAGCAAAGAGTATGAGTCAGCGGTAGGCGAGGAGGAGCATTCTCTGGACCTCCTTTATGATTACTCGATAATGAACGCCTGGTACGAACGACATTATTGCAACGCTTTTGCAGCGGTACATTATAACATCGTGTGTATATCATATTTTAGGTTGAACCATCCCGTGAAGAGATTTAAACCAGACGACAAGGAGAACCAGAAGAGTTCCTACACGAAGAACGGGGACATCTACTCGATGATCACTCCCAACGGCATGAACACCAACAACAATGAGAACAAGAATAACGTGAATAACGGAAACAACACGCAGATGCATTTCATCAAGCAGGAAATCAAACAGGAGCCGGGCTGCCAGATGGACAGCAGCGATACACCGCCAGTACTCCAGTCAATCGGCAGCGGTGGCGGTCACCACGGGGTCAAGAGACCCGGTGATCCGTACGAGTTCGAGGAAGACGTGTGCGGTGGTGGAGTAGGTGGCGGCGGGGGCGGAACTAACGCGACCGGCGCTGCCCCCAATGCCAGTGATAACTTCAAACGCGGTCAGGTCGGAGCCACCAAAGATGAAATTAAGAAGGCCGGTAACCTCTTCACCAGTGAAGGTCTTCAACCGTCGTACAAGGATCTGGATCAGATCTTCGATAATTCTGATGACACCAGCAGCGACGAGGCAGTAAGTTTAATAGTTCGCTCGCTCAGTTCAATAATTATTACTTTATTAACCGATGCACATCATCATTGTTTAGACTCAAATTCAGACGCCTCCTGGATCGAACAAATCATCGGGCGGACAGCACGACGATGGCGGCAAACGTTATTCGGGACACACGAGCAGCGGTGGTGGAGGAGGAGGCTGCCTGAACGCTGGCGGTTTGCGACCTGAGGAGCTCTGTAAGATGTTCCCGACGCCACCCAGTTTGGAGCACAATCCAATCGCCTCGCCGTGCGCTACACAGGACCAACAGCCACCCGATCATCTTGACTTCGGTGGTATCATAAGGATCAACCAATCGATATATCCGAGCATGGGAAGCCCGCAGGAGGAGAACATCGAGGACTGGAGTTACGTGTTTAAACCGCCCATTATGTGTAAGCTGGTGGGATCGAGTAAGTACGCACCGTTGACCAATCTACCTAGCCAGAATATGCCGCCTGTGTGCATGCCCACGAACTGCGTCTACAAACCGTCCTGGCAACAGCACATAGAGAAGTCCTCTGCGGCGACAACTACGACATCGACGTCGACAACGACGGCGGCCTCGACTGTGACGACCACATCATCGACGGCGACAACTACGCAAGTGCCAAATACGGTGCCAACGCCGCAGGTGACGCCGAATCCAGTTCCACCCGGATCCGGAGGAGGCAATGCAACAGGCGGCCCAGGGAGTGTCGGCGGTTCATCCGTTACCGGTCCCATATCGTCGCAGCATGGTTTTCCACCGAGCCCGCTGCACGCCGGATTCCGGCCGCCACCGCCACCCTATGAGCTGCCAAGCCCCGCCACATCCACGGCCAGTTCGTATTTGAACAAGAACCTGAACTCTGTGGAGCCAGTGAACACGCCGTGCGTGCAAAGGACACCCGAGGCGAGCTCTCTGTTAGTGAACATTCTGTTGGCGGATACGCTGCTCAACATTTTTCGTGATCATAACTTTGACAGTTGTACATTGTGCGTGTGTAATGCTGGTTTGAAAGTGGTAGGAAACATTAGAGGCGCCGACGCCGGCGTTTACTTGCTCAGTGCCGATAGGAATTCCAGTAGTCATCACCAGTCGACATCGCACATGCCTTTGCAGAACAGTCCGTTTCCAGGGGGAGGCGGAGGCATGGGTCAGCCGCCTCCACCCTATGGAGGTATGCTTGGCAGTCCCACCCATGCGGGAAGCGGCGGAGGTGTTGGCGGAATGCTGATGGACGAGGATTCTATAAAGTGTTCGTGCGGATTCTCGGCGGTAGTGAATAGGAGGCTTGCTCATCGCAGCGGTCTCTTCTACGAGGACGAATTGGAGATTACAGGAATCGCCGAGGACCCCGGTGAGCGAAAGAAAGTCTCACTGATGGCCTACCTTATGCAGAACAGTAGTACAAAAATGGATCCGAACATCGACCGGGATCAATTGGACCAGATCCCTTACGGAATTCTCGAGCTGATCCGGGAGCAGTGCGTCATGATTCAAAGTACGGCAAACTCGTTGAGCCGATCCACACGCTACAGGCGGAAAAACACGCTGCCGTACTCGAATTCTGTCAACATCTTAGAATTCTCCGATGGTAACGAAGTGACCGGAATCGCTCTGGACCAGAGCAAGCACCAGGAGAACCTGATGATGTGCAAGATGGAGGAGGCGGCGCAGCGGAAGGGTGCGGACGCAGTGCACAGGTGGCCATTCCTGAGGGCAAGCGGACCGCAATGCAACCAGGACATCGTGAGGGTGATGAAGAGTTTGCAGCCGTTGCTCCAGGAGGCGATACAGAAGAAATGCCAAACGAGACTATGGGAGCCGCCGAGCGCGGTTAAGGGACCGCTCACGTGGCGGCAGTTCCACAGGCTTGCTGGTCGCGGCACGGACGATAGGTGCGAACCTCAACCCATTCCATCGGTGGTCGTAGGTCACGAAAAGGACTGGCTCAGTCTGTCACCGTACGCCTTGCACCACTGGGAGACGCTGCTGCTCGAGCCTTACTCGTACTCAAGGGACGTTGCTTACATTGTCGTGGCCCCGGACAGTGATGCGATCCTGCCGAAGGTCAGGACGTTCTTTAAGGAACTGTCGAACGCGTACGAGATGTGCCGATTAGGCCGACACTCGCCGATCACGAAAGTCTTGCGCGACGGAATCCTGAGGGTCGGGAAGACTGCTAAGACGAAACTGAGCAACGAACCGGTGGAGGAGTGGTTCACATTGCTCGGTGAGAGCGAAACAACGGACATGCTGAAGCTGTACGCCCAGGTCTGCAAGCATCATCTTGCGCCGCACCTTCAGCAAGTGCCTATGGATAAAACGCTGCTCGATCCGCCCACGGAGACGGTGGATCGGCCAGCCGCCAGTCCTATGCCTCCTCCCCCGTCGACGCCCGACAATAGTCAATCATCGACCGGTTTGACCAACAACAACGACAACAGCAAGCTGCAACAACAACCTCCTTCGACGCCCAAATCCGAATCATCCGGTAAGTTTTGTTTCATTCTGCATTCTAATTTATTTCTAATAATTTTATTATTATGCAGAGACCGATTTGAAGGAAGTCTTGCAGAATTGCTCGAACACATTACCGAACGGAACGGACATGACACACGACGAGGACGATCAGGAGGCACCGTCGGTCGTAGTCTACTTAATAGATCCGTTCTCGATGGGCTCGGATCAACCCGAGCTTCAGCGATTGGCCTGCATCGCTCTCCTTCGATGCTTCCAATCTGTATTATCTGCAGTACCTGAAAATATTAGAAGCAACATAAGTGTACAGGTAAGAATTCGTAAGAACAAATTCGATGGTTGTTAATGTGTTCTTTATGTCTTGTAACGTGTTCGTTCGTCCGTTTCAGATTATCTCGCAGGAGAGCATTGTAGAATTGGGGAGGGCCAGGGAGAGGCAACGGTATTGCGATCACATGCGATCCCTAGCGCTCAGCATATTCTCGCAGTGCAGAAGACATCTGGTTCACACGAACAACGTCAAATCCCTGACCGGATTCGGAACTGCCGCAATGGCTGATCTCTTCCTGAAAAGCAAAGACGTAAGTACATATCATCATCATGATCGTCTTGTCATTTTTTTTTTGCTGATGCACGCTCTGTTACGCAGGAGAAGAATCGAGCACCGTACAAGCTGTATACGCCTCCGTACGTTTTGGGACCGCTGAAGGGGAAAGCGGAGAACGCAGAGTCTTTCGGACAGGGCAATTCGGACCAATCGTCGATACTCTACCTCAGCTACTGCCTCTCCGAGGACCAGAGTTACCTGCTTGCCGTCGCTACCGACGAGAAGGGTGAAATCTTCGAGACGCAAACGATCAACATCGATATACCGAACAGAAGCCGAAGGAAAAAGGGTACGGCGAATGCTAGGCGAGTTGGTCTGCAGAAGCTCATGGACTTTGTGTTGGGTGTGATCTCGATGAACGTAAAACCGTGGCGGCTGGTCGTTGGACGACTGGGTCGCATCGGCCACGGGGAGCTTAAGGGTTGGAGCTTTCTGCTGAGCAGGAAGAACCTGCTAAAAGCTTCCAAGCATCTGAAGGAAATCTGCACGCAGTGTATGTTGATGTATCCAAATAACGTGCCGTGCATCCTGAGCGCGTGTCTGGTCAGCTTAGAGCCGGACTCGACGTTACGGCTGATGCCCGATCAATTCACGCCGGACGAACGGTTCAGCCAGATCAGTGTCAACTCGCAGCTGAACACGCCGCAGGACGTCACCTGCACGCACATCCTCGTCTTCCCAACGTCCGCGACAACCCAGAGCTCGCAGACGACCTTCCAAGAGCAGAACAGTATCGATCCGGACGAGGAGTTCTTCAATATTAACGACCTGCACGATGACATGAACGAAGGCATCGACGATTTCTCAGATATTTTCAATTGGACCGACACCGGTCCGGGCGGTGCTCACAGCCCCACCGGCAGTCCTCGAAGGGACGAGATGGGCAACCCGGGCAGTCCGACCGGAATGAACGTGCGTCAGGTGAGCCCGTTCCAGTGCGCGACCAGTTCGCAGCGAGGGGACCTCGCCGAGGAGGTGGGCACTGTACTGCAGCAGCCTCTCGCACTCGGATACCTCGTGTCGACTGCACCGACGGGTCGTATGCCCGGCTGGTTCTGGGCCTCATGTCCGCACCTGGAAGGCGTCTGTCCGGCCTTTCTCAAAAACGCCCTCCATCTGCATAGTCCGAACATTCAACAGAGCTCGGAAGACTTGCTGCAGCAGAGCGCTATCACATCGCACGCACTAGACTCTCAGTATACTACGGACGTGCTGAGGTAAGAAGAAGCATAATTATATCTCACTTCTCTCTACTGATGATATGACCCCCTTTTTTTTCCTCTGTAGGTACGTTTTGGAGGGATACAACGCTCTATCCTGGCTGGCATTGGACACGAACACCAGGGACCGCCTGTCATGTCTGCCGGTGCATATCCAAGCATTGACCAGGCTCTATCACACGACATCGACGTTGCTCTAAATCTGAAGGGAGAGGAGAAATGGCAACAGATTAAGCTGGGAACATCAAGGAACAAAAAACACAAAATACACCGACACTGGCATACAAACACGCACTCGGTTGGTTCACCCCATAATATACAAAGCCTTCGTCACCCCCTCAACTCTTGTGTTATTTATATGTATACGTGATGTACAAACAACACACACATACATGTACGAATATGTTATATATGTATATATCATATATATAACATATAGATTTATAAAGGAGAGAGATCCATTTGTTTACCTTCTTTCGCTATATACTTTGTAACATATTGTTGTCATCCTAATAAGATGACAACAATTCAAGTTTGAGAGGGGGGAGATGGCGGGTGGTGGGTTTGTAGTGATAAATGAATGGACGAGTAATGTTATTTGTTGTACATATTCACGATGTTCAATTTGATTTTGTTCAATTAAAGAAGAATAATACTCAATTTATAGAAGAAGGTCGGAAAGTGTTCAGGAAATGTAGCGCGCCAATGATTTGCACACGAACGTTGTTCAGTGTGCGGACATTTGATGACGATGATGATGATGATAGTAATATATTTTTATATACGTGTATATGATGAAGAGACGATTATTTGACGAAGAAAGTGCGGGAGGAAGAGTGAGAAAGTAAAAAAAAAGAAAAAACCGATTACCATTATTCAGATCGTGCTATTCTGATTGATTGTTGTTACTATTTTTAACTGCTATTACTATTATTCTTATATTATTATTATTATTTGCTTATTTTTTTTCTTTCTTTCTTTCTTTCCTTTTTTTTATATATATATATATAAATATTTATACATACTTTTATTCTTATTTATGATATTGACTCATTAATAAGATGACGACTCGATAATGTAATTATTTGTTTTCTTTCTTTCTTTATTTTTGTTCTCTTAAAATTATTAATTATTTTATTATTTATGTACAAGGTCATGTGATACTAAAAGGTCTTTTATGCGCCGAATTTGTATATTATCGATATAATAATGATGATGATGATGATGTTGAATGTTGTAAAAATGAAGATGGGTTAGAGAGTCGTGATGACGAGCAGCAGCAGCAGCAGTAGCAGCAGCAGGAAGGAGGAGACGTGGGAGTGGCGCTGCGAGAATTGATTTTCTTTAAACGAAACGTTTTAAACGTTTAACTTGGCATATGTAGTACACCCGTGTATATATATGTGTGTGTGTGTATGTGTACATATAGGTAGATAGATAGATAGACAGAAGTGCGGATAGAGTAGACGCATAGATAGAGAAAAAGAGGTATATCATTAAATGAGATCGGACATAGTAGTAGTCGGTAGAGATATGAGAGATAGATTAGGTTAGATCATTCGTATGGATGGATGGACAGACAGACAGACGGACAGAGGAGACCAAGTGTTCTACGTCACATTTTTGCCTTAATTAATTTATATAATCATGATGATGAAAATTATAATATAATATAGTATTAAAATTGAAAATAATATATCGATATCGATGAATATGAAAATATTAATATTTATTTTAACTATTATATCCAATATCTTTTTTTTTATATAAATATATATACTATATTGTACATATAGACAAAGACTTTGTTCGATTTTAGAGATTGGAGACTTTCTGTTTTCTTTTACATATATAATACTGCTCTGTACATTGATTGATTTTCTTTTCTCTTCTAAAGTTTAATCAGATATTCGTCTCTTACTCTCTCTCTCTCATTATTTCATTTTCTCTTGAAAAGCAATCACAATATGTGAAACTAAATTAGTAGATCCAATTACCACTTGTACATATATATATAGTTAGTGGGAGGAGCGGGTGGCTGGGGGGTTGTTGATTGAAACATTTAGCAGAGCGAGGGGGGCAACCGTTGACTTATTATTGTAATCTGTATAAAATTAAAACAATGTAATTTTGTTGAAATCGAAAAAAAAAGTAATTATAATCTCTATACCTTTATCTCTCTCTCTCTCTCACACACACACACTTACAGCACACACACACACATTATTAACAAAAGAAAATGATTAGCCGCATTCAATTATTATTATTTTCGTTCTAGGACAATTTGTACATACAGTAAAAGAAAAAAAAATGAGAAGAAGAAGAATAAGAAGCAGAGAACTATATTATTAATGATAATTGAAATAATCAAAAGCTCGGCAAAAAATGGAGAGAAAAAATCAACAGAAAACACGAAGCAGAAATAATAGTAGTAATTACTCTAGTAATAATATTGTGTAAATATAATCGAGTAATGTTTTATAACAGTTTCCATAATATTAATTTTATTTTTTATTTTCTTTTTCCGATCGTATCCACGTTATTATTATTATTTTTCTGTTAATTTATTTATTATTTTTATTATTATTATTATTTTGGAAATATAACCGATTTTTTTTCGCGAACCGTGAAAACTTGCGTGTTTCTTTTTTGTTTTTTTTTGTTAGTTCTCGACTTTTGGCACTCGCACTCGTTTGCATTTAATTTTTTATTTCAATACTTTGGGTCTCTCTTTCGCTCTTCGTAACCAATTGGGGCCAAAACGACTTAATCGAATTGAATGATGGATGGATTGATGGATGGAGGAGAGAATACGATCAAAAGCAACAACAGTAAAATGCGCTTTGTGCACGTCTATCTTGTTTTCATCTCTTATAACTTTTATCTACTTGGTTTCGATTCATCATGGACCAAATAATAATATATATACATATACTGTGTGTGAGTATATAAACTTTTCAAAATTTGTTATTGCTGTTGTTTCGTTATTCGCTTATTCCACAGCAGCGACGTTTTGTCTCAAGATTATGATGTAGTTAGTACCGATTATGTCTTCGAGTTGCGTTGCGTTGCATTAAGTTGCCTGGCCATTTCGTAAGATTTTATACATACAAATATATATATTTATGGAGGCTAATGATATCTTTGTAAATAAATGGGATCTAAAATTTACACACAAACACATACAGACGTATTGGAGAGTGGAGCAAGAGGATCCTCGTCGAAAAGAAGGAGTGTCGAGTATTTATATATACTTGCATAGTTACTGTTACATAACAATATTGTCAATTTTAGGGAATTGGGATTTATTATATTACATATACATACATATATGTGAATATATAATTTATGATGATGATGATGATGATAATATAATAATAATAATAACATGATAAACATAGTTAAATAAATTTGTAAATATTCTATTGATAAAGAAACTAGTTGAATTAGACACATGAAATGTTAATAACTTTATAAATAATTATATATGAATATATAGTTAGGAATTATTAATAAAATTGATCTACATTGAAGATTTGCGTGTTTTGAATAGTGCGGTTTTTGATGCGTTTTTGATGTGGTTTTTGATGTGTTTGAATATTTGAATTTTGAAATGTTCGTTTGGGGGATTTCTCTTGCGGTCCGTTGGTATCGGTTGCATTGATGAGCGTGCGCGCGCGCAACGGGTGGATGGGATGTGCGTCGTGAAGCGCGCTTCTTTACCAGCCAGCTGTTAGTTGCTGCTGCTGTCATCTGTCATATCTGTTTCTGTCAATCGGTCGAGCATAGTCGACCAGTCATTCGTGTGTGCGCGGAGTAGTGCGAAGGAGCGAGCCGATCGAGTAGTAGTCCACAATCACGGACAATGGCCGAATAGTGTTTGTTGTATATGTGCGAGCGTGTTCAGACAGACGACATCAGACACGATATTGTAAATAGCATCCATTGCCAGTGCGAACATACACAATAGAACATCATTTGATTATCGACGATATACTATTATATCGAAAAGCCATCCTCCTTCCTTGTCGGTGGCTTGGTTATCACACACATACGCGCAAGCACGCATACATATGCATATGTATATATAGCACACACCGTATGTATGTATGTATATATATATATATGTATACACACACACACAGTTATATACATTGGTTTCTGTTCTGCTTGTCCCCCTCCACCCTCCCATCTTTGCTCGATCGTCATCATCTCTAGCTGCTTGCTAACCACAATAAGTAGAAGAAGCGGAGACGACGACGACGACGGAGGCAGAAGCAGCAGCAGCATCATCTTCTGCGACTGCAGCAGTGTTTCTTCAGGTTGTGCAGCAGCGATAGAGAGGAGGATGAACGGTGAGGGCGACGGGCAGTCATGGCTCACGGGATGGGAGCAACAGTGCGCGGATTCGATCGAGGAACAGCCGGACTTCGAGCAGACGCTCACGCTGGAATCGGACGATTCGCAGCGCAAGATATGGAACGTCTTCCAGGACTCTGCCACGGCCATCGCACAATTATACAGAGGTGAGCAAGAATCCAATTATTACCAGCCACCCCCTTTTCTTGTCCCTTACTCATCACGCCGGAGAAGGCCCCCCTTTAGTCCTTTCTCTATCTCTCTCTCTCTCTCTTCCTCCTTGGAATATTATTTTTGACGGTTGGTACACGCAGAGCGAGAGAGATGGCCGCATATTGTTGTCATAGCGCAATCAGCTGATTTTTGTTATATATATATATATATATGTTCATTAATTCTAACAACAATCGTCCAATTCGTTATCATTCTCACGGAATGCGACAAACAAAAATGGAACGATCTTCCATCTGGCTACGTATTCTCTCTCTCTCTCCTCATGCGCATATTTGTGTTTCCACGCTTATTGTGTTTTTTTTTCTCTACAAAATTCCTTGCTTTTCTATCATCATTGATTGTGTGGTGAATTTGCTCTCAAATTTATCTTCAGCTCAATTGTTGTTTGCACACCCTGTCTATGTGAAAGAACAGTTTAGAATCTATTTTGTCTCCTATTAATCTAATCTTTATGATATTCACTTATTGTGCATTGTACATGAATAAGTTAAAGAGATTATTTATATATACATTACATATGGGTAATATTTTGTAAGTTCGAAGAACAGGTTTATCTTTTTTGAATGAAATGTCACCAGGTTATAATAATACTTTTCTCTTTAACGCCATCTCTATAATTCATTTGCAGATGTACTCTACATGTAACTTTCTAGACTGAACAATGGGGTTGTGTGATTTAATCTAAACCTAAGTTTTGTGGATTTAGGACAATCTTTGTTCATCCTGTAGATAAGATAAGAATGAAAACAATGGGAATTAATGTGAATGGAGGATTTAACTGCTTCTTTCAATGGAAAATATTGTGAATTTTCTGTAGATGCTTGAGAGTTATGTGGTTTGTTTTTTTTTAGATGTAATTTTTGTATTGGGAAATGTGCTTGGATTGTTGATGAAATACCTGAATTGTATGCAAACAGAAAGATAGATGTGCATGGAAGAGTAGAGCAGATCAATACATTTCCTCTTCACCCAAATGCAATGAATCATTTATTGGAAGATCGGAGAGTTTGCACGAAATTGGGACAGGACCGTTGCAATTCCAATTTCATGTTTTTTTTTTATCAATTATTTGTTTGTTACAACCCTCAACTCTTTTCTATGTCTATTGAGCTTTCTTTTTAAATTAATTTAATAATTATCGTCGCATTCTACTTTTAGGTTGTTGCACGGTGGACAATGCTTTAGTTATGACGGAGAAACAGAATCAAATGTTGTACACGATTCTTAATAATGTTTTTGATAATGGCAACGCATGAGAGAGAGAGAGAGGTGCGCTGATGCAGCAAACGCATTCGTTGGTTCTTACCTGTACTTTCTTCGTCGGCGTTTCCGACTGTTTTCTTTTCGAGGGGGTCCCATCTGTACCAGGTGCATTCTCTTTATTCTTCACACAAGCACGGTCGAACAGAAATTTACCTGTCCGAAGAAGGAGGAGGAAGAGGAAAACGATAATTACATGTGCACACAGTTGAGATTAGTGAATTTTACCTGTGCCCCTACGGGTATTTCGTTTCCAGTTTTATCGAAAATGCGTCCCTTTCCCATTCAAAGGTTTTTCCATCATTCTATTCTTCAATTCTCATTTCTGAAAGCGTATTGTTCAATTATATGATAATTATAATTGAAAGCTGCAACAGCAATGTTTCTTTTCTTTAACTTACTTCGTATGTTGTTTGTGCTGAATTCAATCACCTGTTCCCAATATTTCCGAGCTTCTCTCTGCAATTGTAATTAATATTTGCATCTCAATCATCTATCAGATGTTTACATTTTAACTGTGCCTCTTCGGGTGTTTCGTTTCCAGTTTTATCGAAAATGCGTTCCTTTTTATTTTTCATCTTTCCCATTCAAAGGTTTTTTTCCATCATTCTATTCTTCAATTCTCATTTCTGAAAGCCTATTGATAATTATAATGATTGCATTGAAAGCTGCAACAGCAATGTTTATTTTCTTTAACTTACTTCGTATGTTGTTTGTGCTGAATTCAATCACCTGTTCCCAATATTTCCAAGCTTCCCTTTGCAATCGTAATTAATGTTTGCATCTCAATCATCGTTTACATTTTCATTTCTTTTGTTGATGGTGTTTTCTTCTTCCTTCCACAACCCTTCTCATTTAGCTTGTGTCGCGCACAATTTCCACTGCATGCTCAGTAGGAACTAAATATAACATAGAACATAAGGTAGTAATATAAACAATTTCTGCTTGAACTTGAACTAGGTTGAAATGAGTCTGGGAAATGATGATGGTGTGCTTGTAGATTGGGCTGCAACCAGACATACTGTGGGATTGTTATCTTCAACGAATTTGAAATATTTTGAGAGAATTCTGATTTGCGCAATGCTGATGATGATGATGTTCACAAGTTATACATTTTTAATTCAATTTGAAATGCGTTTTTCTACTTACGTTCGTTTCTCTGCAGATCTCTCGTCTCGCTGCTGCTGCTGCCGCCGCTCGTTGTTTACTTTTGTTGAGCGGCTTTTGTTCATGGCACTTTACGATTTTTTTTTACAAATTGGTCTTATTTTCTGGTGTTTTTTTCGTTGTCGTGTTGTTATGTATCATCTGTCACTGTTATTCGATTGTTTTGATTGAATTTAGTTTAGACTGAAATATTGTGTGTATAATTGATTGGTTTTTGTGTTGTAGATCGTTACACAGCTGATCCAGGCACTCTGTGGATTTCGTTTCAAACAGCGGCTGGTACGGTGACATCATTGTACAAAGGTAATGTGTGGTGGTATGTTTTGTTTGTACGATTAGTTAATTGTAATCATTTTTGTTGCAGAATCGTGTGATACCATCAAGAAGTCGAGCGAGATTTCGAAGCAGGTCGGTTATCAGAGGAGGAATCGAGAGCTGCTCTCGTGGGCGAAGAGGAAAAAGACGCTGATCCGGAGGGAGGATCTGCTCGCCTATCTGTCGGGAAAGCCTCCTCCGCCCAGGCATCACCACCATCATACGACACACACTCACAGGTTGGCGGTGCAAATCTTTTGTTTTTTTTTGTTGTTTGTTTTTGTTTGTGAAGAGAGAGAGTTTTAATTGATGTACGTTTGGTTGCATACGTAGATTGTCGCCCAGACCGAGGAACATTTCGCCGCCTCCCGGGATGCCGATGGCGCAAGGCGATCCGGAGCTGTCCGATCTGAACACGTTCAGGGAGGCGCTCGCGAGGTCCCCGTCGTCGCGACGCCCCCTCGGCTCGGACCTCTGCGCTTTCATCGCCGGTGAGATCCAGAGACACTGCAAACGACCCGCCAGCCCCTCGGACGTCACCATGGGCAGCCCTAGTCACCAGAAGCGCCCCAGGTACATGTAGGACAGGCGCAACCATAGCAACGCCGACGCCAACACCACCACCACTATCAGTAGCAGCAGCAGCAGCAGCTACCATAGCAACAGCAGCTGCAGAAACAAAAGAATATACGACAAGTGGTATATTGATCCTGACCTTCGGTGCCGACGAACGAATCTCATCAGATGCAATCCTAACTCGTGTATATTATATTTATATAAGTACATTCATATTATATACATGTATTTCGTCTCTACGCGCACGCCGAGATGTAAATAAGTATACTTTGGGAACCTGATGGGATTTATTTATTTATATAATTAGTTATAAAAAATATATATATATAATATATATTATAAATATGTACAGTTATTAATTAATCTTAACGATTTTCATTTGTTTCTCTAATTTGTTTACTCTTAGGTGTATATATATATATACATTTATATATATATATTATGTAATATTTTTTTAGTTTTCTTTCCGTTTCGCAAAGTGTCTCCGTTTTTTCATATTCAACTATTTTTCTCCGTTTGATTTAAATTCGTTTGTTTCTTGTTTTCTTTTGTTTTTGGCAAACTCACAGACAACAACAAAAAAAAAACAAATAACTTAGCAAGTGCAATTAATAAATAATTAATGATGGAAAATGGGAGAAACTCGGAACGGAACGCCGAGAAAACACGAAAGAAAATAATTAACTTAAAGACAATATATCAAAAGAAACAACAATAACAATTACAACAACAACAACAACAAAAAACGAACACTTCTGTTTCGCATCTCGTTCTGTCGATTTTCTTCTTGCATAAAGGAATGAAGAACGGATACGGATTATTGATAATAAAGAGCGAATTTCGTTTCGGACAAAAGATCCGAAACGCGAGCAGTCTCTTCCTCCTCCGCAACCACCGCCTCTCTCTCTCTCTCCCTTTCACCTCGTTAATGTCTTCTAATCTCTATTATTAATTCTAATTGTTTAAACACACTTTTTTCGTTCGCCGATTCGTTTCGAGGACGTACGTTTACGCGATTGTCTGAAGTTTTCTTGTACAATAATAAAATGAATATTAATATTTGTAAATTATATTTTTTGTATATAGAAGAAAAAAAAAAGAAGAAGTCTTGTTTGTTTCATTCCAGCAACCAAAATCACCACAAAATCCTACCCACCCAACCCTTCTATACGTTTGTTAGGTTACGAGATGCGAAACGCTTCGCCGCATCTTAATATGCAATAAAATCATTAAAAAATTACTTATTAAAGAAATTCCTTCCTTTTAACAAACAGCAATTTGTAAGAAAATCCTATTCACTTTTTTTCCAATTTCTAAAGCTCATAGCAGGCGACTCGATGACAAAAAACGTGAAAACTTAACGAAACAGTGATTTTTAAGAAAATCCTATTCACTTTTTTCCAATTTCTACAGCTTGTAGCAGGCGACTCGACAACATGAATTACATCCATTTTTTTAACAACGACTTTTAAGAAAATCCTATTCACTTTTTTTCCAATTTCTAAAGCTCATAGCNGGCGAATCATGAAAACACTGAATTACATCCATTTTTTTACGTGTATAAAACGTTATATTCACTTTTTTTNCAATTTCTAAAGCTCATAGCAGGCGACTCGACGACAAAACGAAACAGTGATTTTTTAGAAAATCCTATTCACTTTTTTCCAATTTCAACAGCTCGTAGCAAGCGACTCGACAACAGCACGAAAATGCCAATAGGCTCGAAACATCAATTTTAAGAAAAATTCCTTTCACTATTTTTTCCAATTTCTAAAGCTCATAGCAGGCGACTCGATGACAACACGAAGATGTAGTAGGCTCGTTGGAAATTGTGTAATTAAGAAAATCCTATTCACTTATTTTCAATTTCTACAGCTCATAGCAGGCGACTGTGACTAGACGAAGATGTAATAGGCTCGTTGGATAAATTTAGAAAATCCTATTCACTTTTTTTCCAATTTCTAAAGCTCATAGCAGGCGACTCGATGACAACACGAAGATGTATGTAGGCTCGTTGGAAAGGTGAGACATTCAGCTTTCATACGAGTGGTCGATGATGTAATTATCTTAGAGGGTTGTTGAGAAATTCACAAAAACTGTAAAAAAATCGAAAAAAACGTCGTTTTTCTGTTACGCAACGAACATTACGTAAGTTTTGTTACTTAAAAAGTTGCGCAATGATTGCGTGCATCTGATTGTGCAATAAAATCATAAAAAAGTTTATTACTTTTCGAGTTATTATCAAAAAACTGAATTACATAAATTTTTTTACAAATTCTATTCACTTTTTTTCCATTTTCTTAAGGTCATAGCAGGCGACTAGGACGTAGTACGAAGATACCAGTGAGCTCGTTGGAAAGGTGAGACATTCAGCTTTCATACGAGTGGTCGATGATGTAATTATCTTCAGGGGTTGTCGAGAAATTTATGAAAAACTGAATTACATCCATTTT